TTGGGGTCGAAACCACACCGCTTGACTCAATGACAGACCTTATGGTCTAAAACCGCACACATGACTCAATGAGAGAGAGGGAGAGATGGGACTAATACATGGTTCAATTTTATTTCATTAATTTGCTTGCGCGTAGGGGCCTTTAGCAATGGGAGGAAACCGGATGACCCGGAGAAAACCCATGAGGTTGGGCAAGCGACCCTATACTCCTTATCACGTGCAACCGGGGATCGAAACCACGCCACTTGATTCAATGACAGGCCTTATGATCTAAAGCGCACACGTTAGACCACTCGGCCACCCAACACCCCCGAAGTCGAAGAACAGGTGTGTGGATATACATACAGGTAAATTGTAATTAAAAGACAGATGTTTAAACGATATAACCAATAAATGGATTACCACATCAGTTTCGATTATATTTTACCCTATAGATTAATAATGACCACGCCCCTTCTATATTAGTCACCAGCTGTCATACAACATAGATCTAATAATAGATATGTTCATTGTTTTCTTTGATTTGTTCAGTGGTCACAATAACTTAATGAAAAGGGTATTTTATAGTCTTATATAGAGTTAAAACACCCCACCCCATTTCTATATAAGTCGCCATCCTTACTCAGGATGATAAAACATAACAAAGATCTCTCTCTCCCTCTCTCTCTCTCTCTCCCTCTCTCTCTCTCTCTCTCTCTCTCTCTCTGATAAAATATAATCTAAGAATTTATTTGTTCAGTTAAAATTCAAGTTTTCTGTATATAATTAATTGGAACATTCTCGACATTCCATTGTGGTTAAACGTGACTGACGATTATAAATATGAACAGGACACGCTTTAAAAATAAAATGATGTTTGATGTCCTACTGTTCTTCTAACCGGGCTAATGAAAAAGGGCATACACCATGCCATGGGGTGTGCTATCGATGGAATGGGGGTTTGATGCCCTACTGTTCTTTACCATTCGGGCTAATGAAAAAGGGCATACACCATGCCATGGGGTGTGCTATCAGTTTAATGGAGGTTTGATGCCCTACTGTTCTTTACCAATCGGGCTAATGAAAAGGGGCATACACCATGCCATGGGGTGTGCTATCAGTGGAATGGAGGTTTGATGCCCTACTGTTCTTTACTAATCGGGCTAATGAAAAGGGGCATACACCATGCCATGCGGTGTGCTATCGGTGAAATGGGGATTTGACGTCCTACTGTTCTGCACCGAGTTGGCTATGAGGAACATTTTCTCCAGGTCACCGGTGTTTCCGCATAGGGTTTAATGCCCTTCTGTTCTGTACCGACTGGGTAGTGGGCTATGAGGAATATTTTTAAGGGTCACCGTTGTTTCCGTATGGGTTTTAACGTCCTACTGTTCCTCACCGACTGGGATAAAGACAGCGAACGTCCTCCATGCAGTTTGCTGTGGGAAACAGTTTCATTGGTCACCGGAGTTTCCGCATAGGGTTTAACGTCCTGCTGTTCTGCTCCAGTCGGGATATTGAAAACTTATTGATAAAGTTCATAGCCCATATCATGTAATGTGCTGTGAGGACAATTTTGCCCAGACAGCGGCGTTAAGGTCCCTTGTATGCCCGTATCAGTGTGTACACGGGGCCTCGATTTGTCGTCCCATCCGAACGATTAGACACTGTCCCTTGCCAGGGACTCTGTCCTTCTCAGTTGGTAGGGAAACAATCGAGGAGCTTTTCACTTTTCTACATCAACTGGGATAATCAAAACGGATTGAAAACCGACATACCCCATACCATGTAATGTGCCATGGGGAACTTTTTTCCCCGAACAGCGGAGTTACCGCCTACTCTTGTCTATTTCCAACTGCTTAGTGTTCCTTTACGTGCGTCCCACCGTGTACACGGGCCCTCGGATATTCGTCCCATCCGAACGAATAGAATCTGTCCCTTGCCAGACACCCTGTCAGGGAAACAGTTGAAACAACCGAGGAGCCTTCCACGACCCACACCATGGTGAAACCCATGACACGCTGGTCAGTAAACCATCGCCTTAATCCCTAAACCGTCAAATAAATATCTTTGAATACAGTAAGACTTGTGTTCTTTAAATGGCATTTAGTAACTGGATAGAGTAACAACAAAGACAAATTATACTTATGGAAAACAGCTACTAGTGTATTTAAGGCGACGTTTCGTAGAGTATTCTCTCAACATTATCAGAGGGAGAGAATGCGGCGGGGTGTTAACGTCCACTCGACACAAACTAGGTCATTTCGGGACTAACATATGGTTTAATTTTATTTCAATAATGTTCATTTACAATTTCGTGTGTTCAACTGCTATAGTTATTTACGAGCCTCGCCTTCTTTAGTTATGGTTTAAATTTCGCAACATAACAATAACGATATTCAAATGATGTCATCGTATACTTTAGGTGCTCAATTGTGTTTTAGTATTTTTAATGTTTATTTATTTTTAGTCTTTTTTAAACCTAGTTGGGTTACGTTTTATGAGTATGGTTAATTATTTTTTAGTCGTGTTCAATTACGTGTGTGTGTATATGGGCGTGTGTGTTCAATTTTAACCGTTTGGTAGTCTCTGTTTGATTGTGTTCAATTCTTTTAGCGTTTTAGTAAACCATCCTTTCGTGATTGTGTGCTGTTACGTTTGTGTGAATGTTAGTCCTTTATTAACCCTTGTGTGATCGTGTTGAATTGTGTGTGAATGTTTGGTCCTTAAGTAATCTTTGTCCGTTTGTGTTCACGTAATTGTTTTGTGTGTCTAATTAAAAGTTTGTGTGTGGGTGTTCGCTATCAAGCATTGGGTATTCCATGATTGCTTGCGTTCAATTCTGTTTTGTCTGTGTTCAATTTTAACCATTTATTTACCCTTTTTTGATTGCATTCGGTTACTCTTTTTTGTGTGTTCAATTTACCCCCCATTTTGGAATCATTGTTTGATTGAGGACAATTGCCTTTATTGTATGTATTCAATTTTAGACATTTAGTAATCCTTGTTTGATTGTGTTCAATTACTTTTGTTGTGTGTTTTTTATGTCAACCATTATTAAACTTTTTTGGGATTACATTTAAACATACGTTATGACGTCACATTAATAATGACGTCATTGTATTAATCATATTAAACATACGTTAGGCAAGACCTAAATCTGCCTATTGCAGGTCTTTCTTTAGGCCTGAAATATTATCTAAATTATTATTTAGACATTAATTAACTTATCCAGACCATAATCAACTCTTGATTGCATCGGATTTCTACGATATTAAATAGATTACAACAGTTCAGCCATATTTTGATTTAAGCTAAAAATGCAGGAGCGAGACATAGCTTCGAACAACCAGTACGGTGGTTGAAATTATTGCACACGTCTTGTCAAACCTTCAAAGGCTAATATCTTAGTTCGCAATAGAGTAATTTGAATGAAATTTTCAAATTATTCATTTTACATTATCTATTTTCGAACTATTATAACAAGAATGGCTAGCTCTTTATCTAAATCTTACATAATGTATCTTTAACCATTTATTAACCACTTTTTGGTTACATACAATTACTTTTTTGTGTGCTCAATTCAGTTTTTGTGGGTGTTCGATTCTAGATATTTAGTAATCCTTGTTTGATTGTGTAACCCTTTTTTGATTACGTTCAGTGACGTGTTTCTTGTGTTTATTCAAGTTAGCTATTTATTAATATTAAATTGATTGTGTTCAATTACGGGGTTTGTAAAGCCTATTTGATTTTTTTCAATTCTTGTGTTCGATCTTAGTCAATGGGTTATCCCATTGTGTTCGTGTTCAGGCCTCGAGTTCACAAAGAATCCTCAGACTGAAGTTAAGAATTTACTCAACTTTCAATCACTGTTGATGAGAGGGGGATCACGTGGCTAAGTGGGTAAGACGCTAGCGCGCTAGCCTGGAGGTCGGGTGATCGATCCCTGCATTGGCCGAGAAAGTTCATCCAGATTTTCCGGCGTGGTTCTCCCTTGTCAGTGATGCAGGACGGAGGGGCTGACATGGAAAGCTGTCTAGTCGTTCGGATGGGACGAAAAACCGAGGTCCCGTGTACACATTGGCGTGCACGTAAAAGATCCCTTGGCAGTTGGAATTCGATATAAGAGTAGGCCGTAGTGCCGCTGTCCGGGCAAAATTTCCCTCATAGCACACTGTATGGCGTATGCCCGTCTTCATTAGCCCAGGTTAGGCGCAGAACAGTAGGACGTTAAACTCCATTTCATTTCATTTCATTTCATTTTATTGATGTATTGGATACATTAAAACAACAAAGTGCTATATAATTAAGGGCTATATTTTAGTTAAAATAAGGAGACAAATTTTGAATAAATTCTTAACAGATAAACAGAGAACAGATGTTATGAGCAACAATCACTAATTTTATTCTAATAACACAACGTTTCGACATTTATCCTTTTATCGGTATCAAACACAATGAAATTTAATAAACTTGTGTTCAGATATTCTTGTTTCTCTGTGTTCAAAATTAGGTTTTAGTAATCTTTGTTTGATTTCATTACTTGTTCATTTCATTACTTTTGTAGATGTATTCAATTTTAGTCTGTTAGTTATCGCATTTTGTTATGTTTTTTAACCATTAGTAAAATATCGGTTAAATCACGACCTAGATCATAAATCTTTAAATCGTATACGGAACTTGAGAAAAAACTAAAATAACAAAGCAAATATTCATGCACAGAAACTGGATTGGGCAACAAATAGAAGCCTATGTATCATCTCTCGATCCATAAAAACCCCATACAAGTATATATACATACAATTGAAAAAATATGAAACAAAAACAAAGCAAATGTTCATTCACAGAAACGCGATTGGGCAACAAATAGAAGTCTATATATCAACTCTCCATAAATAAAAAACATACAAGTATATACAAATATAGAAACAATACGACGCATGTAAATCTTGATATTTTATACCTAGCTTCTACCCTTAGTTTCTACCTGTAGCTATAAATACTGATAATAAAATACTCACCTTAAGTTATAGATACTATCGATTAATATCGAAAGTCACAATCTTTCATCCCTTAGATATGTCCAGGTAAATATCCAACAGCCAGGTGAAAATATCCTCAAAATCTTTTTACTGTTTTAAATGCTAGTCTTGTTATATTCACACGTAAGGGGAGTCGTAAACGAAATGTAACCCTGTTAAGTGGGCTACACGAAATAAAGTTGAATAGGCTAAGAACCGACCAGACAGTGAAGCGTGACCTGGTATTCAGGTATCGAGACACGCCTATAGGTGTATATACAGGTAGATAGTTTTATATAGGTGTGTTCGCTTTATGCCTGGTTTACCTTTTATTATACTCGTCCACGGAGCCTTTCAAGCCCTAATTACACGACACGACTGCTTACCTGTATTCATGCCAGTATTTCAGTCAGTACGGCTTAACGTAAGCTACCACCTAGGGTGATATCGCAAGTGTATATACTTGTAGATAGTTTTATATAGGTGTGGGTTCGCTTTATGCTTGGTTTATAGTTAATATTATACATAGTTTTAAAAAGGTATGTTCGTGTATACCTGGCACTAAGTTCACAAAGCATTCTCAGACTTAAGTTATGAATTTAATCAACTTTCAATCACTGTTTATGAGAAATATCTTTTATCCAGAATAACAAAACTTTGCACATAGTTTCTTATTCATGTATTTGATACAAAAAAACAACAAAGGTTTTATGAAGGGCTATATTGCAATTAAAATAAGGCGAACAATTTTGAATAAATTCTTAACTGAATAGATGAACAGAATGCTTTGTGAATTCGGGGCCTGGCTTACCCCTTTTTTATACTTGTCCAAGGAACTTTTCAAGCCCTGATTACACGACACAACTGCTCGCCTGTAGTCATAGGTAAACAGGTAATAACAGGCAAGTAAATATTTTTATAATTGGTGCCCTACCCCATACGTTAACCCACATTGATCAGCAGTAAATATTCCCTAGGCCGCTATAATCACTGATAAGGATGACATCAATGCGACTTAATGAGTCTCAAATATTAACTTTTTTCCACCGACAAATTAAATTCTAAAACATTTTTTTGATGTATTAGAAAAATAAATAAAATGACTAAAAGGCAGCATTCTGCCCGAAGCAGTACGTCTTATGTAAACAATGCACGCGCCATTCAGCCAATGATTGACGCCGCGTGCTGTGACGGCACGTGTTAAAGGCAGTCATCTTTTACAGAGATATTAGAAGACTCGTAATTCTTTGTGAAACAGATTTACTTTAACCACTACCAGTGGTTACTACATCAATACTCAAGCCCCGGTTACACTAAATATATGTACTGGCACGGAACAGCGTCTAATCGTTCGGATTATTTATGTAGCAAAAACTATACCGTGCCCGTTATTTCCAAATTTGGGCGATTTTTGTGATTTTCTCGGTGTTTGTCTGTGGATTTAATCCGAAAGAGAAAATGAAAATGTAATGGGGTTTAACGTCCAACTGCTCTGTTCCGACTGGGATAATGAAGACGGGCATACGCCATACAGTGTGCTATGTGGAAAATTTTGCCCGGGCAGCGGCACTACGGCCTACTTTTATATCGAATTCCAAATGCCAAGGGATCTTTTACGTGCACGCCAATATATACATGGGTCCTCGGTTTTTCGTCCCATCAGAACAACTAGACAGCTGTCCACGCCAGGCCCTCCTTCCTGCACCACTGACAAGATGAAAACACGCCGGAAAATCCCGATGAACTTTCTCGACAAATACAGGGATCGAACACGCGACCCCCAGCGTCTTACCCACTTAGCCACCGTGGCTCCCTAATCGAAAACAATTTGTGCAATAGGTGTAATATTATATACATTAAACCAAATATATTTGCACACATATCAGGTGACAATGTGTAATATGTAAATTGACAAAGCGGGTTATTAAAGAACGACTTTAGTATCTATAAATATATCGTGTTTATTGGGGTTTATGAGAGACATTTAACATAATATATTATGCAAGCGTTAAGTATGGTTTAATGGTCGAGAGGCGAGACATTAAGTAATATATTGATACAGCAAGATGCGTTAGCCGAATGTTGTTTCAATATATTACGCAATGTCTTTAGCTCGTGACCATACACTGGTTACCTCTAATAAAAACAGTAGTGCATTTCCGGAGTTTTGTATTGTTTCTGAATTTCCCTTATTTTTTTTGAAGAGTATAAAATAAAAAATAGTCTGTTGCAGTGTTTTCATTTTCAAGTTGTCAGTTTATACTCCTTTCCACGTTTCGACGGTGGAAAATCTCAGACATGGTTATATTTTTGATTGTATCTGAGCAGATATTTCATAACTGTGACTTTGTCTGTAAGTATGGTGAATTTGGTGAGAGATCAAAGATATTGTTGGAATAGAATTACCCTGACAATCTATATATAAACTACACTGAATAATAAAAATGATGACCCAACGTTAAAAACAAAAGAATATATCTGCGCATATTGGGAGATTATAGTATTCAAAAACAATTCAGAGCAACGAGGGGTACGGGAAGTGTTCTCGGGGGTGACTGTAAAATGGACGGACAATGTATGGTCGACAATTTTTTCAGAGGGGGAGGGGGACGAAACTTTTTGCAGCCCGTCCCATCGGTTACGGGCCTGAAACAATAAGTGTCCATTTAATTCACGTCTTTATCGTAGTATAAAAATCTGGTGTTGTGACACTAGCTTGCGACTTATTGCATGTTGTGATCTATAGATCTCGTAGTGTGACGTGTGACTCTAACTGAAACCATGTTATAAAGATCTTGTGGTGTGACGCTGGCTTAAATCCGGTCATATCGTGATATAAAGCTCTTGCGGTGTGATACTAGCTTACGTCTTAGTATGTCATATAAATCGTGATATAAAGATCGCATGGTGTGACCCTGGCTTAAATCCGGTTATATCGAGGTATAAAGATCTTGTGATGTGAACCTGGCTTAAATCAGGTTATATTGTGATATAAAGATCTCGAGAGTTAATCAATAGAACTGTAGACCATTCAACACTGGGCTTGGTTTCATTCATGTCCTCAACTCGCTATACAACTCTATAGAATAGTAAACAATGAACAACGACGAGAGAAAACTCGCCTGACCATGTCTCGCTAGAAAATCATGTTCTATCAAGTAGACAATAACTGTTTAAAGGACGCAATCGCCGCTGTCACATGTAACCGAAATGAAAATGAAAAGAAAAGGGACTTAACATCCTGCTCTGCTCCTAACCTGGGCCAATGAAGGCGGTCATACGCCATACAGTGTGCTATGAGAGAAATTTTGACCGAATAGTGCCGCTATGGCCTATTCTGATATCGAATTCTAAGCGCCAATGGATCTTTTACGTGCACGCCAATGTGTACTTGGGCCCTCGGTTTTTCGTCTCATCCGAATGACTAGACATCTATCCTTGTCATTACTTCCGTAGTGCACCACTGACAAGGGGAAACCCGAATTGGACATAATAAAATAAACTGTAGATCGGGTGAAATTTATTATGTCGATTAGTTTTAGTTGACAGGAGTTTTCTTAGGGCGAGATAAAAATATTTCCGTGTTGTGATATTAACGATGTTAGGATAGTATGAACGATAGTGGGATATTAACGATGTGGAGGAATTGGTAGTGGTGAGATAAACCCTGTTTCATTTCATTTCAGATTTTAAACGTTCATGCGATTAATAATAGCGCTATGTTCCATTTAAGGGGAGATAACTCCTCCCAGTCTTATTCCATCAGGAGTCAGACTAGTAATCCTCTCCTCCGATGATCGCATAGAGCACATATTGATAAAATAATTGGAGAAAGTATTTGCTACGACTGGACAAAATGATCTTTAGGCTATGACGGCATTTAAGTATATGATCACCCAAATTAATGCAGTAGAACTTCTGGAGGTTTTTAATTTTAAAAAAGAAATGATATGAAACATTTCCGACAAACACCAGGATCGAACCCAGGACTTCCTGTTTAGTGCGCCTGCGCTTTATTCACTTCACACTTAAATTAGTAGACATCTTTAAACTCATCTATACGAATATTTGTGACTGTCCTTTATTTGTTTGTCTGTCTGTTCAGGGTTGTTGGCTGCTCTAGGGATTTCCTCCGGGGGTTGAAATTTGGAGAGAGAGAGAAAAATAGAGAGAGAGAGAGAGAGAGAGGGGGGGGAGAGAGAGAGAGTAACGTCCACTCGACACAAAGTATGTCATTTCGGGACAAACATATGGAGAGAGAGAGAGAGAGAGAGAGAGAGAGATGGCGTAACATCATGTGACTTCATCCGGGCAACTGTCAATGGTACAGATGCTGGTACGTTGCTCTGGATAATATTTATATTTCTAAACAAACACATTTGTTTTAAAGTTGCCCGGATGAGGTCGCTCGGACCACGGAGTAACATAGGCCTGGACTACCACTTGCGGTTTCGGAGATATGGGAGCATGACCCTTGTGAATGTTTTAGGCCATGATTCGGTTAAATTTCGGCCCCGGGTATCCTTCCAGTGTAACATAAACCAGACCATCTAAACAAAACAAATTTAAAATTTTATTTTAATCAAATTAATAAACAACAACAATTGGAAAAAATGAATATTCAGACAAAAAAAAATAGATTTCATTTTAATTGAAACAAAGGCCTCGCTAAACGTGTCAAAGGAATTCCTAAAACGGCGGGGAAAACGTGGAATAAAGACACCGATAAAACTAACAACTTATATAATATGCTGTGTTCCAATCGTATACTTACGACAATAAGTTTTAAATATGTAAAAAGAGAATAACATTGGTGACGCGTCACTACTCACGCAATCTGATTCAAATATATATTTCGTTTCGTATTTATATACTTTCGATGGTCTACACTACATGGATATGCGACCGGTGGTAGCGATAGGTCGCGTCAGAGGTCATACGAGGGGCTTTTGACCCTATAACGTCAGACATTTGATGTTGATGTTTCTAGTGGGTTAACCACAGTTCCGTGCAACTCACGCCAAAAACTCGCCGTAACAAGCCGCTTCATTGGCTAATCCCTCACATCATCCAGCATTCGGGTTATATAACAACTTTTCCAGATCCTAGTGTAGTAAAGACAAGTAAATCAAAAATTTTAACTATAAAAAACGAAACGAAATAGGATCTGTGTTTTAATCAGATTGCTTAAGTTGCAAAATCATAATTATCGTTAATACATGTTTTGAACGCAGTATTATAATGTATAAGATAAATAGTCGGGTTGGAGTGGGCCAAATCAAGATTCCGGTTCATTGACATTGTCAATATAGTTAAATAACATTATCCATACTCCATAGAACATCGTCAATAGATAAACCTGGTTCACGATGATGTCAAGCATCAGGTGTGTACAGAGTATTGACCGTTGTTGGTTTCGTTCCCGTTCTTCCATTCGTCACTGAAGAAAAGGAATAGCATAGTTGGTAAAATAGATACAATAAAAGCATTCCAGAAAATTAAAAGGTTGTATCTTGCCTAGATATTGTATATGGCCTACATATTGTATATGGCCTATATACTGTATATAGCCTAGATATTGTATATGGCCTACATATTGTATATGGCCTAGATATTGTATATAGCCCTACATATTGTATATAGCCTAGATATTGTATATAGCCCTACATATTGTATATAGCCCTAGATATTGTATATAGCCTAGATATTGTATATGGCCTACATATTGTATATGGCCTACATATTGTATATAGTCTAGATATAGCCTAGATATGATACATAGCCAACATATTGTACGTGACCTAGATATTGTATATAGCCTATATGCAATAAATTAATGTATACCAATTTGGGATTCATCTTGTCATTCGGTTTAAATTTTAGCACATTTTAAAATAATTAATTTAACCAAGATTCTAACTGGTTTCAGTGCTATATTTGCCGCGAACCGAATTAATTTAACCAAGTTTCTAACTGGTTTCAGTGATATATTTGCCGCGAACCGAATTAATGGACCCGTTTTAAATCCGAATGAATCCAAGCCAGGAGGTTATATAGTATTTGAATTTTGAATTTTTTTTTCTTAATTAAATGTTAAATAATCAATTTGAATGCATATTAGCGTGGATTGAAAGAACCCGTGAGTTCATGTGCTATGCCCTGTTTGTTAGAATATCCTGTACTACCAGGATAACCGGCTTCGACCAGGGCCCAAAATTCGCACAGGACCAAAGTCGCCCTGGACCCAATTTTGTCCGGGGCCCAAATTCGATGTCCTGAAACCTTCAGAGGGTCATGGTGGTTAATTTGATGGGGTGGAGCGCGGCGACGAAGCGTGATATCTTTGAATTTATTTATATAGATATCGACCTACCTGTAAGTGGAACATCGTTTTCACTGAAACCTGTCGGTCCTCTGTGGGTTGTATTGTTGCCTACTATAGAAAATAATAATAATATAAAAAAAATAGAACCACACATATTGTTGCCCACTACAGAAAATATATATAAAAAAGAACCAAACATAGAAAGGAGATATTGTTGTAGTCTGTTTGGAGGGATTTGACGCAACGGTTAGAGGGTATGATTGGTGATTAAGAGGTTGCAGGTACCCTACATCTAATCTTGGGGCTACTTTCATGTTTCCGGTCTAAAAATGGCGGAGCCCATGAAGACGCCTGTGATAAGAGTTTTATCTCAAGAAATCTTATTAAAACACAGATCCTATTTCGTTTGGTTTTTATAGTTCAAAATTTCGTTTTACTTGTCTTTACTAAACTGGGATCTGGAAGAGTTCTGGCGTGTTCTGAATGGTGTGAGGAATTAACCATTCAAACGGTCTGTTACGGCGAGCTTTAGGCGTGTTTTGCACGGAACTGTGGGCAATCCACTAGTAACATCAATGCTGATTGGTTAATCAAATGTCTGACGTCGTAGGTCAAAAGACTCTCGTATGACCTCTGACGCGACCTATCGCTACAACCGGTCAGTTCTTCATGTAGTGTAGGCCATCAAAAGTATAAAAATACGAAACGAAATATAGATCTGTATTTTAATCAGGTTTTATCTCAAGAAACTGTATATTGTTTGGGTTTTTTTTGGTTTTTTTTCAAGTTTATCCGATTTTCGTTAAACAAGGACAACTTTGCAATGAAAATTCTACACACTCTTCGAACGGCGCAATTTTGAGAACTTCTTTCTAAAAACGGCAAGTTTTCCTAATAAGTAAACCGGTATCACTGTCATACAGCTGATGTTAGATCTAGGGTACCAGAATCTGCCGAGGTTTGCCGAATGACATTTCAACATAGTCTCTAACTCAACATTTTCAATAATATTCGAAATTAAAAACGCAAATTAGAATTTAATATTGGTCCATTTAAATCCATATTGATGTTGTTATTGTTGCTGTGTTAATGTGGAATCTTAATATCCAATATTTAAGACACAATGAACGTTTTACAATATGGAACATGAGTCGTGTACCATATCGTTTCTGGCGCAAAATCAATGAACAAAGAGAAAAAAATATATCCTAAATTACAATGCGGCAATAAATAGTAATGGCTGATTTACAACTGATAAAATAATAATAGATAAACGTTTAGAAGGGACGAAGCAGGCGTAAACGACTTGTTCAGTTTGGACCGTTCATGTATTTACCCGAACATAACTGATTAGAAATTACTTTTTTAAAAAAAAAAGAATATAAATCATTTTATATACACCCATATTACATTAAAGATACATTATGTACGATTTAGATAAAGAACTGACCATTCTTGCTATAATAGCTCAAAAATAGATAATGTAAAATGAAAATATTGAAAATTTCATTCAGATTACTTCATTCTGAGCCAAGTTATCACTGTTTGTAGATTGGACACGATGTGTGCATTGTGGTAACCAGGGCATTGGTATATTCGAGACTTAGCCTCGCTTTCCCATTTTCAATTTAAACTTTTAAATGGCGAACCGTTCTAATCTAGTTAAAATCTCGAGTAGCCAATGCCACCGAGAGTTGATTATGGTCTTGTTTTGTTAATAAATGTCTAATTAATAGTTTATATAAAATTTCGGACCTAAAGAAAGACATACAATAGGCAGATTTAGCTCTTGCATAATGTATTTTAATACATGTTTTAAGACCCAGTTATGGTTATAAAATTAGAGTCATATGCCCTTTAATCTGAAATTGGGCCAAACAACGGAGATAAATGGTTATTGAATTAATAGAAACTTACTTGGTTTGATGACGTTTTTACGTCGTATCAAAAGACATCTGAAAGCTTCAGAAAATCCCTTTCTAAAATTCTCGTTAAATCCACCATATAAAATAGGGTTCATAGCGCTGTTAAAATAGGCGATATATAGAGCCATGTACTTTAAGGGTTGAACATAATCAGGAGGCTGAAATATAAACAAACGCCCCAAATCTAATGCTAGGTTCCCACTATCACGATTCGTACTATGGGGTTTCGATCCCCCGGCTGTACGTGACAAGGGGTAGGGTCGCCTGTCCAACCTCGTGGGTTTTCTCCGGGTCCTCTGGTTTACTCCCACTGCTGAAGACCACTAAGCACAAGCGAATTATTAAAATAAAAAAATGAACCATGTGTTAGTCCCGAAACGACCTAGTTTGTGTCGAGTGGATGTTAAACCCCATTTCTCTCTCTCTCTCTCTCCGGTTTTAAATGACAATATTGGTGCCATCCATTATCACATATGTGATAGAACTAGTTAAACACGTTCCAAATATAATTTTAACACAGAGATCATTGTTATGATAGATGTGTAATGAAGACTTCAAGAAACGGAAGTGACGAAAGCAAAAGGAAAAGACAAGTTATCCTTCTATATAACTGACTGAACTGACAAGTGTTAACAGATACACGGGTGAATTTCTGCTCACTAATAATTCCTTCGAAGACCAAAAGTTGTTATATGAGACTCTGAGAGGATATCCTACGATTCAAAAAAGTCATTGAATGTCACAAGATAATTTGTAGTTGACTAGATAACCGGATGTGGACACTTTGCTTGACACGGCATATACTGGATATGGGCGCGGCCTGCCTGTGTTTTTGTTACCATAAAACCCGTCATGGCATTTTTTATTCAGCCCATCGCCCTTTTTTGCTTATCTACAGGTCCCAACCAACCAGGCATTGCCTAATTTACGACATGGTCAGCCCACCAATTGCTTGAATGGACGTATTAAAACACGAATCTGATTTAAAGGCAAACACAAATAAATTGATAAAAAATGTCTTACCCTAACTTTAGCTCTGAAGAGATCCCACAATAGTATAACTTGTTGCGGTGTCCAGCAAACGATAAATACCACGAGAACAGCTACCAACATCTTGATCACCTGTAAAAACCATAAATAATCCTACCTAAACACAACCCATACAGTTAGCGCACATTGAAGTGAGCATATTAATATACCCATTAATTACAAGATTAAGAATCAGAATAAAATTATGTCGTGAATTCCGCTCCATAATATATTGCTTATTAATTATCATCCGTGTAATTAAACACGTCTCTAACGTTATTAAAAGACAGTACGGCATCATAATTAGCACAAATATAAATGAATCTTTGCATATATTAGAAGCATGTCTAAATCTACAACTAAAACCACAATAATTGGATTTTTAATCTATTTTATTGGGTGATCTGTGTGAGCGTACAATGCAGTGAGAGAGAGAGAGAGAAATGGGATTTAACGTCCACTCGACACAAACTAGGGACTAACATATGGTTTAATTTTATATCAATAATTTGCTTGCGCGTAGGGGTCTTTAGCAGTGGGAGTAAACCGGAGGGCCCGGAGAAAACCCACGAGGTTGGACAGGCGACCCTACTCCTTGTCACGTACAACCGGGGATTCGATACAGCGCGCACGTGCTAACCATTCGGCCATTGCAGTGAGCAACTCCACGAAGAATGTATTCGCTGTATTGGAATTACAGAATTAGTTTAATCCTAAGTTGTATAACCTGGCCATTGTCTTAAAATGAAATACGTAAGTCCAGTAAGTCCAGTTTGACCACTGATCGGCGATTTTGTCAAGATCGATCGTGTCCGTCATTAAGGCGTTCCTGTTTCATTACCGAACGCATAACAGTTTTTACTAATTAGAGCTTTGAAAACCTGGCGCGTATTGTGATATCGAATCAAGGCAATCATATGTATACACAGACATATTCATACACATATTAAGTATTTGGGATTTTCCCTTCTATTTTCTCATTTTTTTGTTTTAGTCCTCATAAATAATTTTGCGACCGACTATTTTATTTTCCTGTGGTAAACTTCTCTCTGGGAACCGGGATTGACATTAGAGCAGAGATCCTCAAACCTTTTAAGTCGTAGCACAATTGAATTCCTAGAATTAATTGTAGGCGCACTATATACAAATTTCCGATAAATATTATATATTTTAGGGAAATATACAAAAGAAATGCCAAACAGTAGGGCGTTAAACCCCATTTCATTTCTATTTCGTTCTATATTTATACCTACCTTTCGCTTTGCTCGTTCTTGAGCCGACGCTGTAGCTGATATGACCGCTCCCGGTGCCTTTCTGATGAGCAGTTTGACTGATATGACCGTATAGGCCACTATCATAATCAGTATAGGCAGGAAATACATGACAGTAGCCTCGATCACATAGTAGATAATTTTACCAGGTTCGTATGACGTACATTTCTCATCTTTATAATATTTATCCCAGACTTCTTCACACCACACTTCATGACGATCCTTCCAAATCTAAATACAAAAAAAACTACTACTCATTTCTTTCTGATTTGCCGAGAAAGTTCATCCGGATTTTCCGACGTGGTTTCTCCTTGTCAGTGGTTTAGAACGGAGGGCCTGACAAGGACAGCTGTCTAGTCCTTCGGATGAGACGAAAATGAGGTCCCGTGTATACATTGGAATGCACGTAAAAGATCCCTTGGCAGTTGGAATTCGATATAAGAGTAGGCGATAGTGCCGCTGCCCGGGCAAAATTTCCCTCATAGCACACTGTATGGCGTATGCCCGTCTTCATTAGCCCAGTATAAGTGCAGAACAGTAGGACGTTAAACCCCATTTCATTTCATTTCATTTCTTTCTGATTTGATGTTAGTTTGAGGGAGGGAGAGAAAGAGATAAATGTTTTTTAACGTCCACTCGACACAAGCTAGGTTTTTTCGGGACTAACATATGGTTCAATTTCATTTCAATAATTCGCTTGCCCGTAGGGGTCTTTGGCAATGGGATGAAACCGGAGGACCTGGAGAAAACCCATGAGGTTGGACAGGCCACCCTAATCCTTGTCACGCAAAACCGGGGAATCGAAACCAGCACAGTTGACATAAATGACATACCTTTTGATGCAACGCGCATCCCCCTCCACCCTGATATCAAAGGACAACATAAGAATATATTTTGGTTACAATCCACGTATCGGTTGTTAATGCCGTTACAAACACACAAAAAAACGAAAGTACAATCCTACACAATATGTTTTCTTTTTGATATGAAAGGACCGTTCTAACATTATATTTGGTTGCAATCCACGCTTCAAAATAATATTAATCGGTTTTCAATACTGGTACACGAAATCAAAAACCCAACCCCTACCTATTACCCTTTCATTTTGATATTAAAGGGCCACGAGAGATTTTGTTCATAAATTATATTAGGCTGAAATCCACACTGTCAAATTATATTAAACGGTTTTCAATGCGGGAATATATAAACGAAAACAAACCCTACCCACGTCCTTATCTTCTTGATATATAAAAATGCCGAGGTATCATAAGGTTTGTCATTGAGTCAACTAGCGTGGTTTCGATTTCCCGGCTGTACGTAACAAGGAGTAGGGTCCCCTGTCCAACCCCGTGGGTTTTCTCCGTGTCTTCCGGTTTTCTCCCACTGCTAAAGACCCCTACGCGCATGCGAATTATTGAAATAAAAATTTAACCATATGTTAGTCCCGAAATTACTTAGTTTGTGTCGAGTGGACGTTAAACCCCATCTCACTCTCCCTCCCTCTCTCTCTCTCTCTCTCTCAATTTCTATTTGATTGAAATAAATTCACAATGCCCAGTCTAAACGGCTGTCGATTTGTATCCGAACTCATAACCAGAATATCCGAGGCTGTTCCCATAAGAACGTTGGGTATTTCCAAACCGGACTATCGCTTGATGGTGTTGCGGCTGTGGGGATTCACAGGGAAAGATTAACAGATTGCTAATGCACGTAAAATACCCTTTAGCATATATAATTTTAATGGCGAACGGGTGTACAGTAACGTAATTACAGCCATCTTGGAATTGTCCAAAATCGGAATCCGTCAATCCATGCACACTTGTCAAAGGAACTGACATGCTAAGTGTCATGGCGGCGATCGTACTTTCATTTACAGAGCTTAGTCTTTATCGAAATTCGTTACCACCAAGACGAACAAGCTGAGAAAAAGTTCCTGGTTTAAAAGGAAGGCGGGGACACCCTTTTCCGTAAAATTCCTCCTGTAGCATTGCCAGTGTAACGCTAGATACGGTCAGCGATCCCAAATTAAAAATACCTCAGTGGTCCGCAGTTTAGTAGCAAGTATAATCCTGTGTGCGTGTGGGGGGGGGGGGTCGAAACTTTAAATGCTTGTTCTTTGGCCGATTGTACATTGATTTCGAGTTTTGATATGACTTTACAATTCCAAGATGGCTGCTATGACGTCATTCTTAGCTCCTGGTCCGTACGGCGAGACTTGTTATGAATATAAAATGATTTAAAGAAAACTTGACCTGTTCATGTTGATGTCTTACGGCCAGATGAGGTGCCGCTACGGCTATCGCTGCCAACCAATCAACTATCACTATACCACCTGTTACCCATGGTGACCATTTTGCCTTGAACGGAAATACTATAGCCATGAACCTTTCTACAGATATCACGGTCAAGGTCAGAACACTGGAGGTCAGGGCCAACACTTGAAATATATAAAATTAATTATTTTTTTTAAGAGCACATATTAAAGTTACATTATGGGAGATTCGATAACGAGTTGGCAGTTCTCACTATAACTGTTAAAATCTAGATAATGAAAATTTCATTCAAATTGATCCACTATGAACCGAGAACTAAGCGATTGAAATTTCCGCCTAGCCTCGATCATCATTACTAAAGTCAGTACGATAAACAGCATAGTCTCGATTATCCATTTAATCGTTAAATCGTGAAGGAAAGTTATGCAGTAAATCGGCCCATAATCCACTAAAGATCGCAGGCTAGCGATGCCATCTAGAGTTGATTATGGTCTGGATCGGTTAATTAATGTCTAATTAATAATTTAGATAACATTTCAGGCCCAAAGAAAGACCTGCACTAGACAAATTTAGCTCTTGCATAACATATATGTTTAATACATATTAATACTGTTTTGAATTACCTTGAAATTTACACTCTAAATTTTAGACTAAATAAATAATGGCTTCTCTGTGTGTATATAAAAATAACTTAAACCCCGTGAAGAATGGACTAAACAGATACGACCGACTGTCGTTCATAATAATATTTATTTCTTATTATACGCATTATATCGTAAAAACAATCTCAATGTGTAGTACATGTAAACATATAATGACATAAAAAAAAAACATAAAAAAAATATATGAAATAAAAACATAAAAAAACATATAATATGTGTAGTACATGAAAACATATAATGACATAAAAAAAAACATAAAAAAAAATATAATATGAAATAAAAACATTAAAAAAACATATAATATGAAATAAAAACATATAATATGAAATAAAAACATATAATATGAAATAAAAACATATAATAACATATAATACGACATAAAAACATATAATATGACATAAAAACATATAATATGACATAAAAACATATAATAACACGACATAAAAACATATAATTTGACATAAATATGAAATAAAAACATATAATATGAAATAAAACATATAATATGAAATAAAAACATATAATAACATATAATACGACATAAAAACATATAATATGACATAAAAATATATAATAACACGACATAAAAACATATAATATGACATAAAACATATAATACGGCATAAAAAAATGTAATACAGTTCAATTTGCACTGTTCGCATATTTCTTCGAATATAATTGAATAGACATTAAAATATAAAAATTGAAAATGTAATGTAAATCAGTTTATATACATTCATATAACATTAATAAGCGCTTTTTGATCCCTTATAGATTACAAAGAAAGAGATCTAGCTCCTTTAAAGATACATTAGTTAAGAGTTTAAGAAAGAGTTGGTCATTCTTGCTATTATAATTCAAAAATAGATGATGATAAAAGAAAATATTGAAAATTTCATTCAAATTACTTCATTCTCAGCCAAGTTATCATTGTGTAGTTTTGACAAGATGCGTGCACGCTTTCCCATTTTTAAATTAAATTTTTAAATGGCGAACCGTTTTAATCTAGTTAAAATCTCGAGTATCCGATGCCATCGAGGGTCTATTATGGTCTTGTTTTGTTAATAAATGTCTAATTAATAGTTTAGAAAACATTTCAGGCCTAAAGAAAGACCTGCAATAGGCCGATTTAGCTCTTGCATAGTGTATGTTTAAGTTTGAAAGATTTTCAACTATTGTTTTTTTTCAATTAATTTGCATAAAGTAATTACCTTGTATAAATGTATTAACTTTACAAACAATATCTCCAAATATCCACTCTGACGTCATCTGATTGCCAACATGGACCCACATACAGAACACGCCCACCATCAAATCCGAGACAGCCAAGTTCAATATTAGAACGTTGGTCGTGGTGCGCATTTTCTTGTTAAGATATATAATCAACAAAACCAGGGAATTACCAACAATATCCAACACAAACGCTACTAAATAAAAAAATACTTTAAAAAATATCGCCAACGTTGAGGTCGGTTCCGGAATAACGGGGGCGTTAACGTTTTTAGTGAAGTCCGGATGAAGGGAAACCTTGGAAACCGGATCACCAGGAACACATGTCGTGGGAAAAGCCGGGAAATTCATATTTATATATAATTACTGACAGGCACATACAAATGAAAAACAACGAGCCGCTATTTTTTTTTCAGAAACATGTACTTTTAGATGTATATTAAATCCAACAAATGCCAAACATTATACACTAGAACATAAACACCACGAGTTCACATTTTAAAAGTAAATTCAAAATTCAATTCAAATATCAGAATGAATTGAGACATGTTAGCTTTGCGACCATTATCACGCTAGCACAACTCGCTTCACTGACGCGTTAAGAGTGTTGGTACCATCCTTGGCGACTTTTATAATGTGACGTCATCTGATGCCTGCAGGTATAGTCTGTTAATATCATTTGTTGGAGGCTAGTTGACATTACCATAGGTAGAAACTAATTAGTATTACAGGTAATATTAATTAACCTGTCAGGTAAAACAATTAGAATGGGTTACTGAATGTTACTGAATAAATATAATTAAATATAAAGTATCATAGCTTCGGGCATAACCAAATATAATAATATTATCTATGAACATTTTAGGAACACCTGATTAGAAATGAAATGAAATGGGGTTTAACGTCCTTCGGTTCTATGTCAACTGGGCTAATCAAGACGGGTATACGTCATTCACTGTGCTACGGCTACGGCGTACTCTAATTTCGAATTGCAAAAAACCCTCTGTTACGTTAAGCAGTCTGGGCTTAGAAATGAAATGGAGAGAGAGAGAGAAATGGGGTTTAACGTCCACTTGACACAAACTAGGTCATTTCGGGACTAACATATGGTTTGATTTTATTTCAATAATTCGCTTGCGCGTAGGGGTCTTTAGCAGTGGGAGGACCCGGAGAAAACCCACGAGATTGGACAGGCGACCCTACTCCTTGCCACGTACAACCGGGGATTCGAAACCACGCCAGTTGACTCAATGACAGGCCTTGTGATAAAGCGCGCACGTGCTAACCATTCGGCCATCCAACCCCCGAAATGAAATGGGGTTTAACGTCGTACTGTTCTGCTCCGAACTGGGCTAATGAAGACAGGCATACGCCATACAGTGTGCTATGAGGGAAATTTTGCCCGGGCAGCGGCACTATCGCCTACTCTTATATCGAATTCCAACTGCCAGGGGATCTTTTACGTGCACGCCAATGTGTATACGGGACCTCGGTTTTTCGTCCCATCCGAACGACCAGACAGCTGTCCTTGTCAGACCCTCCGTCCTGCATCACTGACAAGGGGGAAGCACGCCGGAAAATCTGGATGAACTTTCTCGGCCAATGCAGGGATCGAACACCCGACCTCCAGGATAGCGAGCCAGCGTCGTACCCACTTAGCCACGTGATCCCCTGTCAGAAAGTGTGCTATGAGGGAAATTTTGCCCGGGCAGCAGCACTAGCGCCTACTCTTATATCGAATTCCAACTGCCAAGGGATCTTTTACGTGCATTCTAATGTATACACGGGACCTCGGTTTTTCGTCTCATCCGAAGGACTAGAACGCTGTCCTTGTCAAGCCCTCCGTTCTGCACCACTGACAAGGGGAAACCACGTTGGAAAATCCTTATGAACTTTCTCTGCCAATGCAGGGATCGAACACCCAACCTCCAGGCTAGCGAGCCAGCGTCTTAACCACCGTGGCTCCCCATCTCCATAATGATATTTTACATAATCCTTATAAGACATATAGAAATAGATTATACTAAAATTAACACACTTAATGCATATACTACTTCTGAATTTTATTAACATGCTACGCTTCAATACACGTATTATATGTACAGGTATCGTTATCAAGCAAATGATGATTAGTTATCAAAAATCTGATGCAATATATAGATAAACACTTTGGAATCCATTTAGCAGATAAAAATATAACAACAAATTAATTAACAAGAGGAAAGATGTAATATATAGATAACAAGTAGAAACCATTTTAGCAGATCAAAGATGTAATGGCCGCAGAACCAGAATCTTGTGGTGTCATAGTCACTCGGAAATACAGAAAAACTGTTCGGTAGATAAGATTATGATTTAGATATCAGTGTGGTTAGGGTTAGGGTTCACTATTTGTAACATAATCACTTATTTCCATGCAAACTATGATGATATATGTTGAACATTGTGCTATTGAACCTTATTTTACTTGCTCAAAGCCTCGAATAGTGTATCGATTGTAGCCGTAGATAAGAATTATGACGGCTACAAATTGCAGTTACCCCACCCCTTGTTCTGATGTCTGTTGCAGCTGCCCCACCCCATGTTCTGATGCCTGTTTTACAGGGGATCGAGAAAGACGAGACAGGGAATTTTTTTTAACTCGCTATAAAATCTGGTACCAAATAAAAAACTTGAAGTTATGTGGCAGCGGTTTCTTTCTTCGAGGCGTGTGTATTGTGGACGTAGCTTATTTACCTGCTTTAACCAAGGCACCGCAATTTATCGTCAAAAAGCTACATTATTAATTTGAACCGTTGACTTTTGATTGTTTAGAGGAGTGGTACATGGAACAAGTGACGTCAGAAATGGCAGGAAATTTAGATTTATATGAACAAAGTACAATTGTGAAATATAAATATATATATATCTACCATCGTGATTCCGGTGATTTGGTTTTTTTATATTTTGGGGGACAAGAGGGGGTTGTGTTGTGCAAATATTTGAAGATACATTATTGTAAGATATGAATAACAGCCTAGACATTCTTGCTATAAAGGTTCAAAAACAGAAAATGATAAAGATGAATTTCTTGAAAATTTCATTCAAATTGCAATTATTCTGGGCGAAGTAAATCACCGCCCACCTATCTACGCCGTCCTCCAAGGTAAGCTTGACAAGCTATTGCCGTGCTAGTCTCTAATATGGGAGGGGGGTTGGATGGCCGAATTGTTAGCACGTGCGCGCTTTATCATAAGGCCTGTCATTGAGTCAACTGGCGTGGTTTCGAATCTCCGGTTGTACGTGGCAAGGAGTAGGGTCGCTTGTCCAATCTCGTCGGTTTTCTCCGGGTCCTCCGGTTTCCTCCCACTGCTAAAGACCCCTACGCGCAAGCGAATTATTGAAATGAAATTGAAACATATGTTAGTCCCGAAATGACCTAGTTTGTGTCGAGTGGACGTTAAACCCCATTTCTCTCTCTCTAATATGGGTTGTCAACATTTGAGAATAACTCGGTCATTCGCTAGATTTTACATTATCATAAACACAATCTAAGGGAGGTAACTAGTCCTAAAAGAAGATGTCGAGGCCAATGAAATTAATATAAGCATTACCATTTCAGAAAATCCATTTGAATATCCAACACTTATAATTTATTTTTTAGTTGTAAAATTTCTCTGTTCATAGACAATATCTATTGTTTTGGGTTTTTTTTCTTTTTTTTATCACTCCCAATTCGTTGCAACGATTCATCTTTGTTTATAATAATGCATGAATTATGGGATTTATTTCGGGAATCCGCCTTCATTAGCCCAGTCGTAGTAGCACAGCAGGACGGTAAACCCCATTTCATTTTATATTTCGGGAAGGGGCGTAACTCTTACTTGATTTGGCGAAATTTACTGGATAATCAACATATAAAAAAACTCCCGGTTACGCATGGACAATGGAACTTTTTGTCAAATGTTGACAACTGACCCAGACCCTGCGTTTGTTGTAGACTAGAAGGTCCTGGTTGACGGAGACTATTGCTATGCAAGATATGCCCACATTTTACAAGAGATGGGCGGACAATTGATTAAAAACATAGAGCTCATCCAATTGACCCAATGCTTCGCATCGAATTTGAACTGGGTTGGGTTTTTTTGGGTTTTTTTTTGTTTTTAGTTTCATGTAGAAAGAACGAGAAATAGGGTTTAACGTCCAATCAGCACAAACTAGGTCATTTCAGTACTAAATCTATTTCGTGGTATATAGGACTAGTAATTTCTTCCCATGTCTCGGTACTAACGAATGTAATTCCCTCTCTAGCAATTATCTAATCGTCCCCTGCCCGTTTTGTAGGGCATACTGTGTTGGTTGGCCTTGTGTTCAAGAATTGAAGAGAGAGAGTTTAACATCCACTCGACACAAACTAGGTTATTTATGGACTAATATATGGTTCAATTTTATTTCAATAATTCGCTTGCGCGTAGGGGTCTTTAGCAGTGGGAGGAAACCGGAGGACCCAGAGAAAACCCACGAGATCCTTAGTCTCAGCAGAAAATTCCCATCATCAAACTTAGTCAAGGTAATGATATAATAAATCTATACTCGGGGTGTCATCACTTTCACCTAATTAAAATCAAAGTTATTGGACTCAAAGCATCAACCAATCAGATTGCTTATCTCTGCTTACCCTAAGCAGAAAATGCCCAACTCTCAACTCCATCAAGACATTTGCCTGATAAACATCTACACCAAGTTTGAATGTTCTAGCTTAATTAGGAGAGTTACCGTGTTCCAAAGTCTCGACCAATCATATTGCTTACCGCTCTACTTACCCTGAGCGGAAAATGCTCATTATCGACCATAGTCAAGGTATTGATATGATAAAACTATACACCAAGTGTCCTCACTCTCACTTAATTAGAACTAAAGTTATCGTGTCCCAAATCATCAACCAATCAAATTGCTTATCTCTGCTTACCCCAAGTAGACAATTCTGATCTTCTAACTCCAAACTCCATCAAGGCATTGACCTAATAAAGACCTACACCAAGTGTGAATATTCTAGCTCAATTAGAAGGAAAGTTATTGTGTCCCAAAGTCTCGGTCAATCAAATTGCTTATCGCTCTGCTTACCATCAGCAGAAAAAGCTCATTATCGAACTTAGTCAAGGTATTGATGTAATGAAACTATACACCAAATTTCATCACTCTAACTTAATTAGAACTAATGTTATCGTATACCAAAGCATCAACCAATCAAATTGCTTATCTCTGCTTACCCTAAGCAGAAAATGCTCATCTTCGAACTCCATTTTAAAAGTCCCCAGCTTTCATCGAAAGGCGGGGGACAATTAAAACGTCTGACTAATCGTTATTTGTTTTTACGAGTGCCTGTATGTAATCGGCTTCGTAAGAATATAGAAACAAATCAGCAAGCAATGGTGCACAGTTGGTGTCCATGGGGATACCTACCACTTGTTGATATATTTCCTTGAAATGTACTCGACAGTGACGAGATATATCTAACTGACTAAAGTAGGAAATACTCCCAGTCAAGTTGCAAGACAATGTGCATACAGGCCCGTAGCTAGCGGGGGTTAGCCCAACCCATGTCACTCGGCTTTATGGGGCGCCCATACTGATAAGGGCACGTTGTGCGTCGTGTTGCGTCCAATGGAAAGGGTACGCTACGGGCCTGGGATGTCCATTTGTACTTTGCTTGGTTAGTCTCCAAATACGTATGAGTATTATGCATATTTCTGGCATTAAGTTAACCGATTAAGTAATTGGTATTTAGTGATGTATTTCCGGTTGAAAAAAAAAGAGAGTTTCGTGTTAGAAATTAGAGCCATTCGGCGTTCTTAGAAAAACAGTATGTAGCGTCCTCAGAAGTTAGCCGCTCTACAGGCAGGGCGAACTGTGGTGGCTGAAAGAGACCAAAGGAGGTTTATTTTTGAGTTTATTAGACGAATGCTTGTGCTTATATATAAACTTTGCATTTGGGTTTTGGAAAAGGGAGATAACCGAGGAAAAACGGGTTGCAAAATAGCTGAAAATCGACAAAGTTCATCCTCTCACAAACCCTATGCTGTTAGTATTGATACTAGTTCAACATAGTGCTTCAATCAAAACTACGTAACTGCCGGTGCCATGTAACGACAGGCGACCCTACTCCTTGCCACGTACTACCGGGGTTTCGAAACCACGACATTTGACTTAATGAGAGAACTAATGATCAAACGCGCACGCGCGAACCATTCGGCCACCCACACTCGACTGATCAGTTAATGATGACTGGAAATAGAAATACATTTTCTATAGTCGGCTTGATATAGGATAGTACGACGTATTTCATAGGGCGGGACGATTTACCCAATACTACCCAATACCACCTCAATATCACCACATACTACCCAATACTAAAACATAATGATGCAAAATAGACATATCATTTGGGTTTTTTCAAAAATAGAGAGTTATATCGCGGGAAATGTACTTCAAATGCGATACCCATGTCTGGCTGTTCCATTTGCCTCCCTATAGCACCCCAAACAAGCCTATAATAACCCAATACTACCAAATACTCATCAAATACTATCAAATACTACCCAATATGATCAAATAACAACCTAATATTGTCAAGTTACAGCACATTAGTATAATTACTGCAACGAATATTCGATTTTTTGCAGAAATGTTTTTGAAATGTTTACAGTGTGTTAAAAACGAGTTCAGTTTAACATTTTGATTGTTCGTGGTGTATTCTCATATGCCCTTTGTGACATTTTGTATTAAAGTGTGAAAAAATTATTTATTAACCACTCAAACAACACATAGCAATATGTTCTAAATTATGTATTCTCCAGGAACAAAGTAAAAAAAAATTACATTTCATTAAAAAACTTGGAAAACATCGAATAGATAAACTGTAGAAGGAACATTTTCTTATTTATAGGCAATTAGTAAAAATAAAATTGTATATTGTTCGCCTTTAAAGATGCCTATTGCAGTTCTTTCGTTTGGCTTCAGATGTTATATAAACCATCGATTAGACATTTATTTACATGCCAGGCCCATAATCAACTCTTTATACCTTCGGATGGTAATACGATTGGCAGCCAATGATTTAATTTAAAACTGGATAATCGAAACTCTGTTTATTATCGTAACAACGGTATCAATGACAATCGAGACTAAACTGTTCTGCAAACGACGATAACCCCGTTCAGAACGAAGTAAACTGATTGAAATTTTCAGCATATTCCCTTCTCATTATCTATGTTTAAACTATTATATCGAGAACTGCCAGCTTTTTATCTAAATTCTTATGTTGGTTGGATGGCCGAATGGTTAGCACGTTCGCGCTGTGTCATAAGGTCTGTCATTGAGTCAACTGGCGGGGTTTCGATTCCCGAAATGACCTAGTTTGTGTCGAGTGGACGTTACCCCCCCCCCCTCTCTCTCTCTCTCTCTCTCTCTCTCTCTCTTTAACCAGCCATACATCACATAACAAACAATATGCTAAGACTAACCTCTAACAAAGTACAATTGAAGTACATTTCAATAAAAGGCGTTGAAAACATCAGAACGAGGATGTTTTTTTGTTATTTATAAGAATTAGACAACACTGTCTATTGTTCGCCTACAATACATCCTGGATCTTAAACGATCTTCCTTGGTGGTAATTTCTTTATTGAGTTGAAGTAAATTGACAACACAGCTTAATTGATTATTGTTTTAAAAACCCTTGCATAGATAGTAACAAAGCCAGCTTTGGAAATGAAATTAAATAAAATTGGATTTAACGTCCTATTGTTCTGCTCCGACTGGGATAATGAAGACGGACAGACGCCATACAGTGTGCTATGCAGGAAATTTTGCTCGGACAGCGACGCTACGACTACTCTTATATCGAATTCCAACTGCCAAGGGATATTTACGTGCACGCCAATGTGTACACGGGACCCCGACTAGACAGCTGTCCTTGTCAGGACCTCCATCCTGCACCATCGAAGTGCCATTGCTTGTGTCGAGTGGACGTTAAACCCCGTTTCAATCTCTATCTTATCGAGATACCACGCCGGAAAATCCCGATGAACTTTCTCGACAAACACCGGGATTGAACCCGCGACCTCCAGGCTAGCGAGCCAGCGACGTACTCACTTAGCCACCGTTGCTTCCCATAGTCATTTTGAAATATAACCATATTAAAAGATTAATTGAGTATAACCATATTAAATAATACCATATTAAATATATTAGTTGAGTACAACCGTATTAAATATATTTATTGAGTATAACCATATTAAATATATAAATTGAGTACAACCATATTAAATATATTAATTGAGTATAACCATATTATATATGTGATTTGAGTATAACCATATTAAATATATTGAGTACAACCAAATTAAATATATTAACTGAATATAACCATATTAAATATATTAATTGAGTATAACCATATTACATATGTTAATTGAGTATAACCATATTAAATATGTTATTATTCTTATGACCATATTTAAACAGATTAATTGAGTACAACCATATTAAATAATACTATGTTAGTTGAGTACAACCGTATTAAATATATTATTTGAGTACAACCATATCTAATATATTAATTGAGTATAACCATATTTAAATATATTAATTGAGTATAAACATATTTAAACAGATTAATTGAGTATAAACATATTAAAAAATACCATATTAAATATATTAGTTGAGTACAACCGTATTGAATATATTAATTGAGTGTAACCATATTTAAACAGATTAATTGAGTATAACTATATTTAAATCACGAATACACCAGATAGCTAGTAATCATCTGGCAATAACCTGGATGAATAGGGTCGAATCATTCCTAAACTGGCTAACGTTCTCTGGCAGAAATTGATGACACCTTACCTGCCCGAATGTATCATAAGGCCTGACATTGAGTCAACTGGCATGGTTTCGAATCCCGGTTGTACGTGACAAGGAGTAGGATCGTCTGTCCAACCTCGTGGGTTTTCTCCGGGTCCCCCAGTTTCCTCCCACTGCTAAAGACCCCTACGCGCAAGCGAATTATTAAAATAAAATCGAACCATATGTTAGTCCCGAAATGACCTAGTTTGTGTCGAGTGGACGTTACCCCCCCCCTCTCTCTCTGCTTTTAGTCTGAACTATTGTGGCTTTAACATGAAATTTTTATTAAACAAAAAGTAGTTGGAGTTTTTTACACTTAAGTTTAAATCTTTGCGCAGATAATAAACAATTAGTTGTATTCTTCACACAAATTAAAGAGACTAGAACTTGTATAAAAATAAGACAATTGTTTATACAACCTTTCATTGAAGTATGGTTTTGATAATCTGCTAAATAACTCAGTTATATTGAATTACTCCAGTTGGGTGTATTGTCTATAACTGTCTCCATCCTAAGAATTAGTTTTAGTGTGCTGTGGATCTCCATGCCAAATGTTAGTATTGGTGTCTGTGGATCTCCATGCCAAGGGTCTGATTGGTAAGAATTAGTTTTGGTGTACTGTGTATCTCCATGCCAAGGGTCAGGGGTCTGTTTCACTCAATTTTAACTAAGATAAAAATCCAAATTTTAGTAATTTGATTGGATAATATTAGATTGATTTTAGTGCTTAGTCGATCAAAATGGAAGTATCTACTAAAATTTGGATTTTATCTTTAGTTAAGATTTCGAGAAACAGGGCCCTGATTTGTAAGAATTAGTTTTGGTGCTGTGGATCTCCATGCCAAGGGTCTGGTGTTTATACCTTTAACAGAATATTCACCCGTTCATATTTTGTTGTGGGTTATTTATAGTTATTTAAAATCCATATCCATATTGAATTGAAATTCAGAATTGTCTGACAGCAAATTCCAAAATTATTGTTGTGAGTAACTTACAGTTATTTAAAACCACAGTCATTGTTTATTAAAATATATCCCATATCCATATCGAATCGAAATTAAGAATTATCTGACAGCAAATTCCAAAATTATTGCGCCGTTTATGTTTTAATATTATATTATAGTGTGACCGGAAGTTTCAACTGTGTTTATATGGGGTGAGGACAAATAACGAAGAACCTGCCTTTGTTGAGTTTGAATTTATATTTTTTATCCACTGTATTTTTAGAGAGAAAAGAAGATGAAATCTACATGTTGCTTTCTATTGTTTTTATTGTTGAATATATTCACACTTGAAGCTACAGGTAAGTTGTTAATTGAATTAATTTACTTGTTAAACATAAATTTGATAAACTCTTTTTTTTTTGTACTTCTTTGTTTAAAAAACTGGACTGGACTGTGACTTTTTAATTATTACAATCCAGTTGATATTACTAACAAAGTTCCTTGCTAAATATATTAAAATGGGCAGAGGGGTTGCTTATGGGGACATGTCCAGTACCGAATTGGTCTAACATTTGACTATTTCTGTAATTGTACTGAAGCAATCTGATTAAAACACAGATCCTATTTCGTTTCGTTTTTATAGTTCAAAATTTCGTTTTACTTGTCTTCACAACACTAGGATGTGGAAGAGTTGTTATATAACAGGCGTTCTAGTTCGGAATTAGCCAATGAAACGGTCTGTTATGGCGAGTTCTTGGCGTTCTCTGCACTGAACTGTGGGACACCCGTAAAAACGTCAACGCTGATTGGTTAATCGAATGTCTAATATCATAGGGTCAAAACCGCTCGTATGACCTCCTGACAGGACCTCCCAGTACAATTGGTGAGATTTTTATGTAGTAGAGACCATCGAAAGTATTAAAAAAAAAACGAAACGAAATATTGATCTGTATTTTAATCAGATTGTGTACTGAAGCATCTATACCTGAAAATAAATTCAAAACGATCGATTTAATTTATTGCCAGGTAATCTAGGATATAAAACAGCAAAGGTCCGACAAGGGATATATTTTAACTTCCTAGATATTTCATCTGTAAACAGTTTTACAGCTAATCTGAAAGGAGAGGTGGCAGTAATTATTGGATTATTTGATGATGAAAGAATGGTGTACTATATACTGATTAGAGCTGATACATTCGCTATCCAGGAATGTGTACCGCCAACTACCTGCATAGCGACAACTGGTGATATCAACACTACGTTCAACAATGTCACATTTTCCCCGTTTTGGTTCCGGTGGGAGGCGGGTCAAGTGGAGTTTGGAACTGGGGTTAACAGGGTTGGATTACATCAAGATGCTAGAACCGTTAATATTAAATATTGGGCTGCATCCTGCAGCCAGGGGTTGCATTATGTTAATTATCAGCATACATCAAGTAAGTCATGTATTATATATGAAAGTTACGAGACATGTTGAGGGGGATAACATGGCTAAGTGGGTAAGACGCTGGCTCGCTAGCGTGGAGGTCGGTTGTTCGATCCCTGCATTGGCCGAGAAAATTCATCCTGATTTTCCGGCGTGGTTTCCCCCTTGTCAGTAATGCAGAACGGAGGGTCTGACAAGGACAGCTGCCTAGTCGTTCGGATGGGACGAAAGACCGAGGTCTCGTGTACAAATTGGCGTGCACGTAAAAGATCCCTTGGCAGTTGGAATTCGATATAAGAGTAGGCCGTAGCGCCGCTGCCCGGGAAAAATTTCCCTCAGAGCACACTGTATGGCGTATGCCCGTCTTCATTAGCCCAGTTTAGGAGCAAAAAAGTAGGACGTTAAACCCCATTTCATTTCATTTTGATGTTCATCGAGGTCACTTTTGCGATTGCTGGCACCTGTTTATGGGGATGTTCATCGAGGTCACTATTGCGTTTATAGCACCTGTTTATACGGATGTTCATCGGGGTCACTATTGCGATTGGTAGCACCTGTTTATGGGGATGTTCATCGGGGCACTATTGCGATTGGTAGCATCTGTTTATGGGGATTCATGTTGTCATTAATGTATAGGAGAAAAAGATAATGTCCCAGGATAGATCCCTTCAGGACGCCAGTGGCGATGCACGTGGGTTCCAGAGAATGTTCATTTACCACAAGTGATTTCTGCATTTGTATAAATGTCCATTTGAAACCAAAATCATAGACTGTCGTGGCATTGACAACGACTCTGTAATAAGACAGATATGATTAACTTATCAGCGGGAAAAATATGGTCCCAGCATGGCTCCTTGTGGGACACCAGCGGTGATGGCCCTGTGTTCCAACAAATGTCCATGTATAAATGTTTGGCTATTGATCATTAAAAACCGAAATAATACACCAGCCGCATCGATCATGTGATACTTTTTTTAATGTCAGGGTTATTTCGATTTTATTTTAAATGTGCTTGAGTGTTTTAACTAGTTCGGCGGTTGAAATGTTTGGTGGTTTTGATGTACACCGCTCATCAAGATGAACCCCGTGGAGTTACCCCCCCCCCACCACCCCAAGTCTCCACTAATTGACTAGTGATAAGAATGAACACTATCAAATTCGATTTTAAGCAATGCCATGTAGACATGTTATGCCGTCCTTAAGTCCGCGCATCCGTTCACATTTTATTTGTCAGCAGCGTATAGGTCACAATTTGTATCCGATTTTGACAAAACTTGAAATATGGGTTTACATCCAAAAGATCTGGCTCCCTGTCGATATTGGCATGTATTGGACGGTACCTTCATGGATTATGATCCCGACTTTACGAAAGAAAAATCACGTGGAGGGTCCACGAGGAGCGGTTTTTACGTTCGATTTCCACGAAATTCGATCTCAAACGTCATTATGCTGTAACTGTTTTAAATTTAAAAATCGGATACAAATTGTGATCTCTAGAGGGACCACAAGCTAAAAACGCGATTTTTCGTACTATCAGGGGCCATAATCCCTGACGTTGCTGTGGGATATTTCTGAAAATCAGGAGGAACCAAGATCTTTTGGTTGTTAACATATATTTATTTTAAGTTTCCTCAAAATGAGATAAAAATTGTGGCCTCTAGAGTGTCCACAAGCTACAAATGTGATTTTTCGTACAAACAGGGACCATAACCCATGAAAGGATCAGCGATCTTTGGGAGGTAAACCTATGTTTCAAGTTTCGTCAAAATCGGATAAAAATTAGGAATTGTAGAGCGTCCACAGACAAATTGTGGACGGATGAACAGGGGTGACGACAATGTGGGTGCATAAAAGGGAGATCCTTGAGTAACTAATCGAATGAATTAGCCACTGGTGGGCGTATTTTCCGTTGAATATGTAGTACCATGGGCCTTTTTTCAGACGTGAAAAGCAGACCTTCGACATCCCGGTCGCCATATCCTACGTATGACCCATGCACCGTTTTCTTACTACATATCTTAATAGTCTTGTGATCGTCTAATATTTGTAATTCTCTTCTTGGACTATTGGACTCACGCTGTGTATTTTTGTATATCCGCTGTTAAGATGCTTATCTTCTCAGTAGTTAAAGGACCAATACCACTCTTGTTGTAACAGAATAATATGTCCCAATCTTTATTCTGGTCAACAAATTGTACTATTTTACAGTATTCCAATTAATTGATGATACAAATTTCATCTTAACACATCTAATTTAAAAAATTGGAAAAATTCAACTCAATGATTTGAAAAGCCTAACGTAAACCTTTTCAAATGTGACTTGGATTTAAAAATATTTTCAAACCCTCTGGACAAGTAAAATAGGATGTAATGGATAATTTACACAACAGGTAGAACACTTAAACATCTAATACTTAGAATAAGGCTAATATTTATTTACTGGAGCTGTCAAGCCAGCAATAGTGTTATTGTCCCTTTAAGACTTTTGTCTTACCAGGAATAACAATGCATCAGTTCGATTTTACATTTTATATATCAAGTACTGGTTACATAAGATACAAGCATAGATTACAATAAAGTCATTCTTAAAATTAACATCTTTCTCCCAACCTCAACTCCAGTAAAAGTCTAACCAGCATGGCTAGTTCATATGGACTAGGAACTCAGATGGAAATCTCTCCGGAATCCAATGATATCTAAATCTTAAATGGCTGGTTTGGGCTTTTAAACAGATTTGCTTACGTCATGACTTAAGATTCTGCAAATAATGAATTTGATTGGATGGTTACAGTGTATGATGCAATTAGTAAATTTCCAATCACGTGTTAAACATGATATTCTGATTCCCACGGAACCAGCTATATTTAGGGTTATATGTAAATCCGTCAGTCATTATTTGAGTGCATTAGATATGACTGTATGTGTGTATGTAAACCCAGTAATTAGTTTAAAGATACAATATGGTCACAAAGACCATAGTACTACATTCGGCAAAATATTTTTGTTTTTCAGGATTTTCATGTCATAATGGTTATAAATTGGTGCACGCTACAGCAGTGTTAAAACAGAAAACAGCTACGAGTTTAGTCGGCTGTAGTCGTGAATGTGGGAGGAAGCCTTTTTGTTTTGCTGTGAATTATCGCCGTCAACAGTTCGACAACTGTGAGGAGTACATAATCTCTAGCAAAGAAGTGAACGGCGACGTCATTGTACCTTTCAATATAACAGCTAATTCTGAATGGCTTTATTGTCAAATGACAAGGCAATAAGCACACTGATCAGCAGTGAATATTCGCTTAGCTTCTACAAGCACTGATAAGGATGACATCGGTGCGACTTAATGAGCCCCAATCATTAACTTTTTTCCTTCGACAAATTAAATTCTAAAACATTTTTTTATGTATTAGAAAAATAAATAAAGACGTTTGAAGTATTTGTGTGTAAAATATTATTTCCTATTTAAACATACATTATGCAAGAGCTAAATCTGATTATTGCAAGTGATTATTTAGGCTGCAGATGTCATAGAAATTATAAATTAGATCTTTATTTACACAACAAGCACAAAATCAACTCTTGTAGACCCACGGATGGCTTGGATTCGGCTTGGATTTAAAAAGGATTTCGTTGATTGATTAAATTATTAAATGGCGTCGTAAGCGGAGATTAACCGTAACGTTGACGTCATACTCCCGGAAATTTTAGATCGAGGCTAAATGATAGAGTGTACGAAGCGAGGCCGCTCTTGAGCGAGACCGCATGTCAGTCAAGTTGATTGAAAGTTCGATATATACGGCCTTGATATTATGTTTAGTTGTGGTTAAAATGAGAGTTTGGATGTCGGTATTATACGCCCTTTTGTCACTTGCGTTTACAGAAAAATTATGGAAATTGATAAACAGCGCAGCTAACATCACCCCGGTTGAATCGAGCCCCATTGGATCACTGTTTCCTATTTGTCTGCTTCGGGAGTTACGTAGGCCTACCCCAGTTACAGTACAAGAGTACACGCAGGGTAACAAGAATCGGCTATAATTATACCTCATTGATTTGGTCCATTCCTTTCAAACTTTCGCTTCCTATCTATATATTAAAAGTCCTATTTTTAATTTGCAGTAAAAATAAATGTGATACGAATTGAATTGCAACCCCGTCTCAAACTTTACCGAAAAGGCTTACGGTACCACACCCATTGAAAACGTTACTTGATAATCGAGATTATGTAGGTAGAGTTAAGGCCTGTCAATCAAACGATTGGCCATCTTCGGAGATGGTGAAGAGAGAGTTGACTCCTATTTCTTATCAAAAATTACAATGGTGATAACTTTGTTCAGAATAAAGTAATTTGACTGAAATTTTCAATATATTCTTCTTTCATCATCTATTTTTGAACAGTTATAGCAAGAATGGCCACCCCTCTATTAAAATCTCCCATAATGTATCTTTAATGTCAATGGATATTTAAAAGAGTAAAAGGCACAATTCTGCCCGAGCCCGAACCAGTAACGTCTTACGTAAAGAATGCACGTCCCATTCAGCCAATTATTGACGCCGCGTGATGTGACGTCACGTGTCGAAGACTGTCATCTTTTACATCAACCCCTCTTTATATAATAGCGCAGACGAAATCAAACGACTAATTGTACCATCACGTGATGTGCCATCAATAAAACCATTCATGGGAGGCACCTATGCCATTGATAAAACCATTCATTGGAGGCACCTCTGCCAACAACATTTATGTATATTGTAGGCACCTATGCCCTGAGTAAAACATTAATTGTCGGCCCCTATGCCATCAATAAGGCCCTTCATTGAAGGCCCCATATGGGTAAACCCATGTCAGAAAAATAAGTCACTAGCCATCGCAGGGCCGTATTTAGCGGGTACATTGCACCCCAGAAAAGTAAGGCGCCCAGAGAAATTGCGCCCCACCCCATCCAAAAAAACAAAAATTATTTGACAATCTTTCAATTATAAAATAATACACTTGATAATGATCACACGGTGATGCTCTTAAGGCACTGATCAGTCGATCGGTTTTAAGGGCGCCCACACGCCAACGGGTTCGTTTGCCCTGATCCAAACTTTCTTATATCACATACGTGGAGGCTATGGCGCCCCACCACTCTGCTGCACCCCCACTTTTAAAATCTACATGAAATGAAATGAAATGAAATGGGGTTTAACGTCCTACTGTTCTGCTCCTATACTGGGCTAATGAAGACGGGCATACGCCATACAGTGTGCTATGAGGGAAATTTTACCCGGGCAGCGGCACTATCGCCTACTTTTATATCGAATTCCAACTGCCAAGGGATCTTTTACGTGCATTCCAATGTATACACAGGACCTTGGTTTTTCGTCTCATCCGAAGGACTAGACAGTTGTCCTTGTCAGGCCCTCCGTCCTGCATCACTGACAAGGGGGAACCACGCCGGAAAATATGGATGAACTTTCTCGGCCAATGCAGGGATCGAACACCCGACCTCCAGACTAGCGAGCCAGCGTCTTACCCACTTAGCCACGTGATCCCCTAAAATCTACATACGGTCCTGTTCCAACGTTAAAATACATTCATACAATGCCAGTAAATATCTGACATCTAGATACAAATATTAGCAAAATATACAAGATTAGTCCTTACCTGCATTAATGGCGTGACATGCCAATAATTGCGCCCCTGATATTTCTATAGTAACTTTTGTTACCAAGAGAACTAAGATGAACACCGTCTGTTGAGCGCTAATAGAACAAAAAGAGGGGTGGGGAAAGCATAGGTATGCTTCATACAACGCTTCCATACGTATTGTTAGCTGCTTTGCCATTAAGGTATAATCATTTGCTGACTGAAAATGTCTAGTTCTAAGACGAGGCATAACTTGACAAAAAGTGATATGCGCCACGTAACTAGCAGTAAACTAATTTTTTGTAGTATAAACTGATCAGGTGCGTCCTCATGCATACGATGTGTATCTATATCGTTACTGCCAAACTGAACAATTAAATGCGTAGGCCTTATACGCACAATTGCGGCTTCCCATTCACGACAGTGGGTGACCTTATTGACCAGACCGCCCCTTATGCCAAAGATATGTTTTCGAACCACGCCGTCCACATGGTTTAAGTTGAATCGAGTGTTCTGGGGGTTATCCTTCCTTATTATAGTTATTCAGCCAATACACGTGGGGTGTGCCTAAAATTAATACCTTAGGCATAGTCAAAGTGTGGCGTTGTGCTACTAACAACGGAACAGTAATACGGCATGGTTAATTGGCGGGAAAAGCACAATGCTATCATCTCCGTTTAGGAGCAGTCGACAATCACTACCTTGCTTGAGTTTAAATCACAGTAGACCCTAACAAGATGCCGATACCGGCATAGCCGTGGAAGGCGCAAACAAAACAAACATAAAAGTAAGCATAATTGGAAAATCAAGTTATATTTATAGCACGGCTTTCATGAGTTAACAGGTTTAACCAGAGGCCGAAGGCCGAGGGGTTAAACCTGTTAACGAATGAAGCGTGCTATAAAAGACTTGTAACATTGACAATTGCTCAACTTGCTTGTTGTTATTGCACAGAAAACCCACCCACTTCTTTATATGATTTCTACTAAAACTAGTGTAAACCAGCAAAAGTGTGCAATCTACTAGAGGGAAAACAATCTGCTTATTCAACGAAAAAAACAAAGGGAGATTTCCATTCATGTTACAATAATTATTACACAATGACATGTGTTACAACCACCCAGCAATGAAATGTAGCGCCCTCTGATACACGAGAGTTAGCTCCCTTCTGTCAATCACCGTAAATGCTATTTACCCCTTTGGATAACTATTACTTTTAGACCCAGTGAACGTCAGATTCCGCCTAGGAAGATGAGAGAGAGAGAGAGAGAGAGAGAGAGAGATGAAGAGGGGGGTGACGTTCTCTCGACATAAACTAGGTCATTTCGGGACTAACATATGGTTCAATTTTATTTCACTAATTCGCTTGCGCGTAGGGTCTTTAGTAATGGGAGGAAGCGCCGACCAAAACCAAGGAGCTTTCTTAGCCAACACCGAAATCGAAACCAGGATCTCCTGACTAGCGAACCACCGACATACCCACTGGCCCGATTACATAAGGAATATTTATAAAACTAAGTAACATGAAATTAAATTGTTCTATAGTAAAAAAATTGAGTCAAGTGGCGTGGTTTCGATTCCTCGCTTTTACAGGATAAGGGTCGCCTGCCCAACCTCGTGTGTTTTCTCAGGGTCCTCCGTTTCCTCCTACTGCTAAAGACCCATATGCGCAAGTGAATTATTGAATATAATTGAACCTTATGTCTGTTTCGAGTGGACGTTAAACCCCATTCCTCTCTCTCTCTCTCTCTCGCTCTCTCTCTCTCTCTCAAAGTTAGCTAAGTCTCTAACTCAATATCATCCAAAATCTTCGACATTGAAAACACGAATTATTTCTCAATTTAAATCAACATTGATGTTGCGATCTTACGGGGAAAAGATCGGCTTCTGGTATTCAATAATTAAGACAAAATAAACATTTTACCGTTGGCACACGAATCGTGTACCATGGTGCATTTCAGCGTCATTTTTAACAAGGGACTCGTAGAAAGAGGCTAGATATATTCCACAAGTCATGTCAAACGGCGACGTTGTATTCTTATCTCGAGAGCATGCGCAATAAATACTATCGGTAAAGAGTGGAATAACCAGACGCTAGAGATTGTCATTGGATTGAGACTTCTGGCGTATTTCACCGAATATGACTGATTAGAAATTACAGTAAAAACAGAAACGATTGAATGTAAATCAGTTTATATACATTCACATTACATTATTATACACGTTGCGACCCATTTGTGTCATTTTCTAGATCCAAAATATTAGCGATTTATCCCCTTTAAGTAGTACCTATATAATTAATCCTGTCTGCAGTAAACACAAAACCATACAACACGTGACTCATGGCACTTAGAAGTTTATTTCTGGCGACGTTTCTACTAGCGTTCTATCGTCTTTACCAAGCTTGAATGATTATATATATAACATCTAGTTAAATATGTACAAACAATTTCTCGAGTATAAGAGATTTATTGTACAACGTGTCGCCATTTTTAATAACGGTATTTTTATTCATTATTAATTATAAGAAATTTGTATGACAATAATCACGATACAAGGACTGCGAATAAAGCGAGAGAGAGAGAGGGGGGGGGGTTAACGTCCACTCGACACAAACTATTTCATGGTTCTCTTTACAAGCTTTAGCAGTGGGAGGATCCGGACAAAACCCACGAGGTTGGACAGACGACCCTACTCCTTGTCACGCACGTACAACCAGGGAATCGAAACCACGCCAGTTGACTCAATGACAAGCCTTATGATACAGCGCGCGCGTGCTTTTTTTTTTTTTTTCTTGTAAAAACCATTCGGCCATCCAATCCCCCGCTGCGAAAAAAGCCCATAATATAAGATCTGTTCCATTCGGGATGGAGCCGGCAATGCAGGGATCGAACACCCGACCTCCAAGCTAGCGAGCCAGCGTCTTACCCACTTATCCACGTGATCCCCCTCGCGTAAAAGAACCCCTGATAATTTGAATTCGATGTAAGAGTAGGCATAGCGCCTCTGTCTGAGAACAGTTTCAGTCATAACACTCTACATTGCGTATGCCCGTTTACATTCAATGAAATGAAATGGGGTTTACCGTCCTACCGTTCTTCTACGAACTAGGCTTACGCACTCGGCAAACCTCGGCAGATTCCATTACTCAAAATATAGCCTCGGCTGTATGACGGTAAGTGATATGTACCGACGCCTATACAATTGCGATGTGACACCGCTTTACTTATTAGGAAAACTTTCCACTTTTAAAAAAAAAGTTATCAAAATTGCGTCGTTCGATGCATGTGTAAAATTTTGGTACAAAGTTGTCCTTGTTTGAAGAAAATCGGATAAACTTGAAAGGAAAATAGCTTCAGACTTTGAAATATTTGTATGATAAAACATTCTTTAAAGGCTTCGTCATGGGTAACGCCGAGGCTAGATGTAGGGTACTGGAATCTGCTGAGGTTTGCCGAGTGACAATATGAGTTTTCTAGGGGTAACTCTAAATTTGATAGCACTTTTAGCACTGTTTAAAAATGATAATACCCCTTTAACTGAAAAATAAAATGAAAGCTTGGTCGTTTCTCAAATTATATATTTTGGAGGTCATAATGCCATTTTAACTGATAAATAAAATGAATATGGTTATGTCTATTGAATAGGAGACGCTTCAGTAATTTTATTTAAGTCTAGTATAAATAGATCTTGTGATGGTATAACTCGCCTTTTTATATTATTATGTTAAATTTAACCTAGATTAATACACCCGGCTGTACACCTTAACATAACGTATAGTCATGCGCGCGCATTATGTGCATGTTTACTGTATAGTTATTGTTATGTCCATTATAGAGTTTGTGTCCAAGCTGTACAGTTCATCATATGTAGCGGATTAACCTTGGTAACATCACCTATTGGAAGATTGTAGTTGATATCCCCATTAAGTCTGTGTCCAAGCTGTGCAGTTCATCATATCTTGACCACATCACCTATTGGAAGATTGTTGTTTATATTTACAGTGAGTGGTAGGATATTTTAATCTTTAATCAACATCGACTGACTACAGGCCTGTGTTTAATACAGTGGTAGAATATTTTAGTTTCACCAACTTCGACTGAGTATATTATGCTTGTATTTTATGCTTATAGTGGTAACGCGAATCGTGATATTGGGAACATAGCATTACCAACGATCGCCTGACTCGGGACTATGTTTATTTTAATTTCACCATCAATTTTGTCAATAAACAGCTGCTCAGTGTGTTGTTGTTCATGGACGCCAATTCATGTACGATGGATATGCACTTGGTATGTTTTTTCCTTGGACAATTGCGTATAGATTGAGAATTCCAAAATGGTTGCCATAACGTAATACTTAGTCCCTGGTCCATGGTTAGCATTTATTTAGTTCCTTTAGGAACTGTCCCTGGTCGGACGTTGTCCACAGACAGTTCCTATCCGGCCGTATATAGCTGCAATATGAAAAGACTGCTCATCTCCACCTCTGGTCTAAGGCTATTTTGGAATCCTTACCGACTATTTTTCACCCTGATTCTTCTTTGTTTGCTAAAGGAATCATTTCTTGGTACAGCTGACACACATTTATAATAATTCAACACTATTTGCAAGTAGAATTTTGCGATTAAAACATCCATAAAATACATTTGAACTGATCAGCCATTACAAGGCTCGAACATGGGTAGATCGCGTTTTTATTTAATCGCTAAATTCTACTTGAAAATTGTGTTGAATTATTATAAATTTGTATCAGATATGTTGAGAAATTGTTCCTTTTGCGAATAATAAAGAATCACGGTGAACAATAGAAGGTAAGAGTTCCAAAATAGCCTGAAAACAGAGGTGGGGAAGAGCGGTATTTTACCTTATTTTCATATTGCTATATAGGAAGAGATAGGAACTGTCAGCGGACATCGTCCGATCAGAGAGGATTTATTTATTAGAATCTTTAATGTTATCATATAATAAACCCCCTTAAATACTGTCGTCTTTATCAGTCTGTAAATTCTGATATTTTCGTAATTTTAAAACATTTTCAAAGAATAGTATTAGATAATAAAGGTTTATCAAAGGTAGGTCCACTTTAAAGTAGCTAAGTCTCTAACTCACTATAATCCAAAGTCTTCGACATTGAAAACACAAATTGTTTGTCAATTTAAATCAACACTGATGTTGTGATCTTACCGGGAAAAGATGGGCTTCTGATATCCAATTTTTAAGACAAAATAAACATTTTATAATTGGTACACGAATCGTGTACCATAATGCGTTTTAGCGCCATTTGTAACATAGGACTCAAAGAACGGTGACGACATGTTCTTATCTGAAGAGCATGCGCAATAAAGAACTTTGGTGTAGACTGGAATATCCAGACGCTAGAGATTGAGATTTGATTGAGACTTCTGGCGTATTTCGCCGAATATAACTGATTAGAAATTAGAGTAAAAACAGAAACGGTTGAATGTAAATAAGTATATATACATTCATATTACATTATTATATGCGTTGCGTCCCATTTATGTCAATTTCTAGGTCTCAAAATATTAGCGATTTAGCTCCTTTAATATAATGTTTGTTCCCTTTGATATAGAAGTCGACATTATTTAGCTATATGGTTTGTTATTGTATAAAATTATCGAAGTCTAAATGAGGTATAAAACACATACTAAAACCGGATATGAAATGAATGGATACTATTTTCGTCGACCATTTGTGTAAGATACTTAATACAATTTTCAAATCCCCACTTATATATGATTTTCAATACCTAGAGTTTAATGTTAGAATTGATTTTAGAAAGATTTATTTTTAAAATCATATCATTTCACAGTCTGTCTAACATTATTCAAGAGCTAATATTTTCTATTGCAGGTTTGGCCTCAAATGTTATATAAATTATTATTTGGACATCCTATAATCAACTCTCTAGATCACCGGATAATTTTGACAATCGAGACTACGCTGTTCTTCAAACGGCCATAATTCCGCCCAGGACAGAGTAGTCTGGCTGAAATTTTCAAAATATTCTGTTTTCATTATCTACTCTTCAACTGTTAGAGCGAGAACTGCCTGCTCTTTATCTAAATCTGTTAGATAATGTTAGTCTTCAAATATGGCTTTAATCTAGCTGCTGTTATTCAATTTATAGTCCATTCAGAATCTGCCTCATGCTAACCATCTATATTTTATTGCGAAACGCATTGTTTTATGACACGTCGTGTCTTTGGACCATTTCTTGATTCCCGAAATTATTATTATTATTATTATTATTATATAACATGTTCAGGGTCACATTACAAATTGACAATGTAATCATAAATAAACAACAATATTATTGACATGATAACAGTTGTATACGGAGTCAGTTAAACCTCAAATGACATATTATGTTTATATGTAAACTTTCTTATTGTTTACAGTTGAGCTGATACAGTGCGTAGTATCCTGTTAAAAGAAATAAACTATTTTGCAAAAGAGGAATGAAATATGACCTCATCAAAGGGTATGTTCAAATAAAATTAACATCCAATTTGTCTGCACCGAACTGGGCTAATGGAGACGGACATACGTCTTACAGTGTGATACTCTAATTTCGAATGCCAACCGTCATGGGTTTTTTTTACGTGCATGCCAATGTGTACACAGGACCTCGGTTTTCCATCCCATCTGAACGTCTAGATAGTGCCTGTGGGGGGGGGGGGGGGGTCCGAATGGTTAGTGTATGAGCGTTGTATCATAAGGTCTGTCATTGGATCAGCTGGTGTGGTTTTGATTCCCCTGTTGTACTTGACAAGGAGTAGGGTCGCCTGTCCAACCGCGTGGGTTTTCTCTTGGTCCTCCGGTTTCCATCCACTGCTATAGGCCCCTACGCGCAAACGAATTATTGAAATAAAGTTGAACCATATGTTAGTCCCAAAATGACTCGACGGACGTTAAACTCCATTTCTCTCTATCCCCTCCGTCCTGCACCACCTACAAGGAGAAACCGCGCCGGAAAATCCCGATGAACGTTCGCGGTCAACACCGGGATAGACCTCGATGCCTTCTGGTTTGCGACCCCGCGCCTTACTCACTGAGCCACGGGTGTATGAAACTTTAAATGTACAATTTTAAATTTCTTTTTCTTACCCACAAATAATTTATTTTTATTTCAGACATTACATGGACCACAGCGGCATTACTTAATGTGATTTAATCTGTATCTGGAATGTACCACATATCAGTGTAAGAAATTTATAACTCTTTAGGATACGAATATGGTGTGTATTCTTTATTGATATTTAATATCGTCTTATAGGACTCGCCACACATTCAAAATGGAGCAACCATTACCGTTATTAATTCCAGAAAAACAACAAACTGCGTGTATAATTGACTCACCACACCGAAGAGCAGCTGGTGCAATCAAGATCGACAAAGAAACTATTAACGGAAATATTAACATTGACCAGAGCGATAAAAACTATGCATTACTAGAGGCTTGTAGAAATGGACCGTTTGGTGATGTTAAACAGCTAATAGAACAGGGTGCTGCTATCAATTGTAAAGATTTATACGGAAGAACATGTATGTTACTTTGTAGCACATCACTCTTTGAACCCATTGAGAAAATAGAGTTAGTGAGATCAAAGGGGGGCAATAGTCAAGATACTGATGATAATAATGAGAATATGTTACACTTGGCTTGTCGTAGTGGTACACTAGAAACTGTAAGACATCTAATTAATCAAGGCTTAGATATCCATACTAAAGGGAGAATGGGTAGAACATGTATACTGTTATGCAGTCAATCACAAACACAAGCCATTGAGAAAATAGAATTATTAAGGTTAAAGGGGGGTAATATATTTGATATTGGTGAAGACAAGCATACTATGTTACACCTAGCTTGTATGTCGGGTACACTAGACACTGTACGCCATCTGATAGGCCTGGGCGTAGATATAAACGCCAAATGTAGAATAAACGGTACATGTATCTTACATTGCTGTCAGTCAGAAACACAAACCATTGAGAAAATAGAATTTTTAGGGTCAAAGGGAGGTAATATTAATGATACTGATATTCAAAATAATGGTATATTACATAAAGCCTGTGCTTTTGGTACATTGGATACCGTAAAATATCTGATAGATCTTGGGTTAGATATCAACACTAGAGGTTTTAATGGTGGTACATGCATGTTATGTTGCTGTCAATCAGAAAAACAGGCCATTGAGAAAATAGAATTATTACGATCAAAGGGAGGTAATATTTATGATACCGATGACGATAATAGTGGTATGTTACACGCAGCTTGTATTTCCAGTACTCTAGACACTGTAAAATATCTGATAGATCAAGGGTTGGATATAAACGCTAAAGGTCTTAATAGTAGTGTGGGTTTATTATATTCCTGTCAGTCAGACACACAAGCCATTGGGAAAATAGAATTATTGAGACTGAAGGGGGCTAATATCTATGCCACCGATGAAAACAATAACAGTATGTTACATTTGGCTTGTATTTCGGGTACATTAAATACCGTGGAATATCTGATAGATCTAGGGTTGGATATAAACACCAGAGGTTTCAATGGCAGCACGTGCATTTTAAGTGCTAGTAAATCTAAAACACAAGCCATTGAGAAAATTGAATTATTAAGGCTAATGGGTGGTAATATCTATGACACCGATGATCAAAATAATGATATTTTACACATGGCTTGTGCTTTTGGTACATTAGATACCGTAAAATATCTGGTAGATCTCGGATTGGATATAAACAGAAAGGGTCTGAAAGGTAGAAAAAGCATCTTACATTGTTGTCAATCAGAAACACAGCCCATTGAGAAAATAGAATTATTACGGTCAAAGGGGGCCAGTGTTTATGACAATGGGGACGACAACAACGGTATGCTGCATCTAGCCTGCGTTTTTGGTACATTTGATACTGTAAGATATCTGGTAGATCTAGGGTTAGATATACACACAAAAGGTTTTAAGAATAGAACATGTGTGTTAATGTGCAGCGAATCTGAAATACAAGCAATTAATAAAATAGAGTTACTAAGGTCAATGGGGGCTGATATTAGTAATGCTGTTTTAAACCGAGCATGTGCGTTTAGTACGTTAGATACGGTAAGATATCTGTTAGATCTAGGGTTAGATATAAACACTAAAGATCATAAAGGTAGGACATGTATCCTACAATGTACAAAGTCTAAAAGACAAGCAATTGATAAAATTGAATTAGTAAGGTCAAAGGGAGGTAATATATATGATACAGATGACAACAGCAACGGTATGTTACAATTGGCGTGTATTTCGGGTACCTTAGATACCGTGGGGTATCTGATAGGCCTTGGTTTAAATATAAACAATAAAGGGTTTCAAGGTAGATCGTGTATCTTGCTATGCAGCGAATCGAAAATACAAGCAGTGGATAAAATAGAATTATTACGGTCAAAGGGAGGTAATATTCATGATAAGGATGGTCTTAATAATGGTAATATGTTACACATCGCGTGTGCAAACGGCACAGTAGACACCGTTCAGTATCTAGTGAAACAGGGTCTAGATACCCGAACTAAAGATGAGTCAGGAAACACACCCGTTTCATTGAGCTTTAGGTCTGGTGTGCAGTCACATGAAAAGGTTGAATATTTGAAGTCGAAAGGGGCGAAACTTCCATTGCGCATGCGGCCAATATATCATATTAGAAAGGTGCTAAAACACAAATCTCACAGGAAATGAATGTATGTAATACTTGGTGATGACAAACGGCTTTGTTTATTTGTAGCCTTGTGCGTGCGCCTTGTATCATAAAGTCTGTCGTTGAGTCAACTGGCTTGATTTCGATTTCCCGCTTGTACAGGATAATGGTCGACTGACCAACCTCGTGGGTTTTCTCCGGGCACTCCGGTTTCCTCCCGCTGCTAAATATAATTGAACCATATGTTAGTCCCGCGAAAAGACCTTGTTTGTGTCGAGTGAGCGTAAAATCCCATCACTGGCGAAAGCATAAAATTATTAAAATGGATTCATACTGGCTGTTTTTCTGTCAGCCCGTCGTACATCTTGGGACAAAATAAACGTTACAAATCAATTTTGTAAAATGTTCAAATCGCTTTAAATTTAGTTTCGTAGGTTGATATTTCAGTTCAAGTGTATGTTATTGTTTCAAAGTATTTTACTTTGATCTGTATATCATTTTATGTAACCTGAAATTTCATAAGGTTCCCATTCCTTATCACTTTGGTATTGTTTGTATAATTCCATTAAATAATTTGGTAGAGACAGGATATCCTTAGGGTTAGGGTACCCTGTGCTCGGTAAAAAGTCTACCATATAATTTACCACCAGTTCATTGTTTGTATAATTTACCCATCATGTCATTGTTTGTATAATTTACCCATCATTTCTTTGTATAATTTACCCATTATTTCATTGGTTGTATAATTTACCCACCATTTCATTGATTGTATAATTTACCCACCATTTCATTGGTTGTATAATTTACCCATCATTTCATTGTTTGTGTAAGTTACCCATCATTTCATTGATTGTATAATTTACCCATCATTTCTTTGTATAATTTACCCACCATTTCAATGTTTGTATAGTTTACTCACGATTTCATTGTTTGTATAATTTACCCATCATTTCTTTGCTTGTATAATTTACCCATCATTTCATTGTTTGTATAATTTACCCACCATTTCATTGTCTGTATAATTTGCCCACCATTTCATTGTTTGTATAATTTATCCACCATTTTAGTGTTTGTATAATTTAAACATCATTTCATTGTATAATTTACCCATCATTTCATTGTTTGTGTAATTTACCCATCATTTCATTTTTTGTGTAATTTACCTATCATTGCATTTTTTTTACATTTTACTCACCATTTTAATGTTTGTATAATTTACCCATCATTTCATTGTTCATCCAGATTTTCCGGCGTGATTCCCCCTCGTCAGTGATGCAGGACGGAGGGCCTGACAAGGACAGCTGTCTAGTCCTTCGGATAAGCCGAAACACCGAGGTCCCGTGTATACATTGGAATGCACGTAAAAGATCCCTTGGCAGTTGGAATTCGATATAAGAGTAGGCGATAGTGCCGCTGCCCGGGCAAAATTTCCCTCATAACACACTGTATGGCGTATGCCCGTCTTCATTAGCCCAGCATAGGAGCAGAACAGTAGGACGTTAAACCCCATTTCATTTCATTTCATTTCATTGTTCTTATATTTTACTCACCATTTGATTGTTTGTATAATTTACCCATCATTTTATTGTTTGTATATTATTATACCATATGTTTGTCGCAATATATATTCATTTATTTTTTGTATAATTTACCAACTAATCCTAAGTCGTTCGGATATTACGAAAAACCAAGGTGTCGTGTACACATTTCATTGTTTGTATAATTTGTTTCACCATTTCATTGTTTGTATAATTTGTTTCACTATTTCATTGTTTGTATAATTTGTTTCACCATTTCATTGTTTGTATAATTTGTTTCACTATTTCATTGTTTGTATAATTTACCCACTATTTCATTGTTTGTATAATTTACCAACTAACCGCATAGTCGTTAGGATAGGACGGAAAACCGAGGTGTCCTGTACACATTTGAGTGCAGGTTTAGATCCCGTGGTACTTGGAATTCGATATAAGAGTAGGCCATAGCGCCGCTGTCCGGGCAACATTTCTCCCATAGCACACTTTATGGCGTATGCCCGTCTTCATAAACCCAGTCAGAGCAGAACAGCAGGACGCTAAACCCCATATTATTTCATTTCATTTTATTTTTACCAACTAATCCATAGTACTATATGTATTTGTTTATTGATGCGGTAATAAAACCAATTTTATTATTTTAATTGCTGTTGCTTTCCTTGCCTTTTTGTCTAAGTAGGGATTAGGGCGGGGGCGGGGGCGGGGGCGGGGGCGGGGGGGGGGAATTACTGTTTAGTTGGTGGGGTGGGGGGTACTGTTTAGTTGGAAGTATATGTTAATAGCAACAACATGCTTCTTTACATAACACGAATCTTGGAGCAACATTAGCATAACCTCAATCTGATTATAACACAGGTCCTATTTCGTTTCGCTTTACTTGTCTTTACTACACTAGGATCTGGAAGAGTTGTTATATGTATAATTCGCGTTCTGGATGATATGAGGGGTGGGTAACCCACTAGAAACATCAACGGTGATTGATTAATCAAATGTCTGACGTCATGGGGTCAAAAGCCGCTCGTGTGATCCCTGACGCGACCTTCCATTACAACCGGTCAAATTTTAAAAAAAACTAAACGAAATATAGATGTGTATTCTAATCAGATTGGTATAATCTATACCCGTTGGTCAAACACTCATCAATACCATATATACACGTAGTGCATGCACTCATTGGGTGTTATTATAATACATCTGTTGGTCCTTCGAACCTTTGGCCTTAAATCTATCTGGTTTAGGCGAAATTAAATACGTTTCGTCTGGTGTATATATGGTATTGAAGTGCATATATTGGTATTGATGGAATTGTTTGTATCTATGTGGGGTGAGGGGGGTTGGATGGCCGAATGGTTAGCACGCGCGCTGTATCATACGATCTGTCATTGAGTCAACTGGCGGGGTTTCGATTCCCCGATTGTACGTGACAAGGAGTAGGGTCGCCTGTCCAACCTCGAGGGTTTTCTCCGGGTCCCCATTTCTCTCTATCTCTCTCTCTTGTTTCTATGGGATGCCCAAATGTCTTCATTTGACGATCTTCATCTGGGGGTCACGGTGGCTAAGTGGGTAAGACGCTGGCTCGCTAGCCTGGAGGTCGGAAAATCCCGATGGACTTTCTCGGCCAATGTAGGGGTCGATCACGCGACCTCCAGGCTAGCGAGCCAGCGTGTTACCCACTTAGCCAACATGGCTCCTTTATCCTTTATATAAAAGAGTATTTTGAGGAATACTAACCCGAACCCTTTTAAGAGGGGTAATAGGTAAGTTCAGTCTTCTAAAAAAAAGGTTAGTATTCCGCCAAATTCTCATTTATATACTCTCCAAAAAAAATAGGGGATATTGAAATGCAAATACCTTTGCAGGTTGTTATATAGTCATGGTCATTTGACATGCTTTGAGAGTATGTTCACAGATGAACAACTTATCGCCCCAACAGAACCACTGAGCTGCACATGCGACACGCAATAGCGCCATACACGTGGGAGGGGTTCATTGTCAAATTTGACACTTCAAAGGAAGGGTTGATGAAAACTGTCGCGTGCTGGTTTATCTATCCATGTTTGCTTTCCTATAGGTTCTTGCATAAGATTTACTGTTTAGCGTATCTTTGCTTTAGTGCCTTATGTTTAATTTGATCGGGAGACGACGGCAACGTCAACCGACAACACGGCAAGAATTGGCCGTGGCACTGCAAGAGGAGTGGGTCAGATTGCCCCAAATCGTGATTGGACGGATGATTAGGAGCCTACCACGACGAATTGCTTAATGTCTGAGGATTGGTGGAGCAATTACTCATTATTAAGACAAAAATCAAAAACGTCCATTTTCACTTTTGACGGTGTATCTCTTTGCGAGTGAAATGCGGCCGTCAGATAAGCCGCCCATATGAACTGTTTATGTTCATGTGTAGGCAATTGGCCTGTTATTAACATACACTGGTTACCTCTAATAAAAACAACAGTGCATTTCCGCAGTTTTGTATTGTTTCTGAATACCCCCTACTTTTTTGAAGAGTATATAAATCGGCCATTTTGGACTTCGAAAACACCCGAATCTTCCCAACCGGCCTACAATTATCATAACCCATGAATTTATTGAGATGCGTGCGCGGTAATCACAAAAAAACCATCAGACAGTTTTTACCAACAAAGTGAATTTATTATCGATGTAATAATCTATGATATGATATAAATATTTTTACGATGTCCAAAACAACTATCAACAATGACGTCTACCATCAACTACAACATATCAGTTTATTTTCTTGACTTCAGGTACGCAGCTATTCCTTTATTACTTTCAACCTTCTGGCGATTGGCTTTTAGTAGTGGATATGGATCGACAATAGCCGCATTGTGTGTAATTAAATTATCGGCTAAATCATAAACAACAATGTCGGCCATCGTTAACTGTAAATAGAAGATAAAAATAAAATAAAATGGGGTTTAACATCCTACTGTTATGAGGGAATGTGGTATGAGGGAATTTGTAACATCCTACTTTTCTGCATCGACTGGGCTAATGGAAATGAGCATAAACGCCATACAGTATGCTATATGAGGGAAATTGTAGCGTTCCTACTTGTATTCAGCGACTTGGCTAATGAAGACGGGCTTACGCTATCCAGTGTGATATGAGGGACATTTTACCCGGACAGCAGCACTGCGGCCTACTCTTATTACGAATTCCTACTGCCAAGGATTTTTTTTACATACACGTCAATGCTTAAACGGGTCCTTGGTTTTTCGTCCCGCCAGAACATTTGGACACTGTCCTTGTCAGGCCCTGCATCATTGACAAGTGGGAACCACGCCGGAAAATCCAGAAGAACTTTCTTGGCCAGTACCAGAAGCATATCCGAGACCTCCGGGCGTCTAACTCAGACACCCCGACTCCCCCAACTCTTGAATAGTCGCCTGTTTCGTAATATGGTTTATTTATATAGGAAAACCAAAATACGTACCTCTTTGCCAACAAAATAACCAGTGCTGCCATTTTCTTTTAATACTTTCTCAAAATTGGTGAAGAATTTTGTAGCATCTTCAGTTAGTAGTTTTTCTTTAAGCTCCTTCTGCAAGTTCAATACATAATAATATATAACACAGATGTGACGTCATCTTTTAATTGTGTGCTAATCGTATATTATGTGTACTAGCAATCTCCCATCAAGAGTTGTCTTCCCTTGCAGTTCACATTAACTTCTGCTAAGGGCTCATTTGACTACGCCACCAAGATTCTTGGTATCGATAAACAATGAGAAACAATACAATGGAAACCAAATAAATGATAATATATTTACTTCTTTTACTATAATAAAATAGAAATGGGACCATACTTATTGTAAAATAATAAAGTATTTACAAATATACAGGGAACTCTTTCGCGAAAGATTACGGGGTAAAGGGGTCGTAAATACGAATTGCGCATGTCATCGTGCTAATTTCTGAATATACATGTATACACGTGGATCTGTTTACCTTTATAACGCGGTCGTAAGGCCTAATAGATTTACATACGAAACATGCAAATTTAGAGGGGTAGTAATTGATGACATTTTCCCCTAAAATTGAATAAAACTCATTACGTGTTTATAACGCCAGGAACTTTTCCGACAATGCCATTTTCAACCAATGTAGTGCGCGAACCGACGGCAGAGTTGAATGCTGGATAGCGAAACTTGTGTGGACACTTAAAACACAGTTGTGACGGCATCCTTGCACTACATGCCAATCGTATATTATGTATAATAGTAAGTGGGGGCTGCACCACACATAATTACACAAAACAAATCTACGGACAAGACACAATACGCAGAAATCACAAACAAACGTACGTCCGGGGGCTAGCCGTAATCGTCCACTGAGCTGTAAAGCCCCGGGCCTGTAGTGATACAGACTCGAGTTGCCCGGGATACAACTGAGTAGTACTCTTTCCGCAACGAACGTTGGATCATAAAGTTTCATCCAATATATATCTAGCCTTTGCTTCCGGAAGAATGCACGAAACAAATAGATTGTGCGTAATGGAACAGATCTATGACGAATATGACAAAATTAGAGAACGCAGCGAGTAGTGTTTATATATATATATATATAGTTCTTATTCCGAAATGGGGGGGATAGATGGTCGAGTGGTTAGCACGCGCTGTATCATACGGTCTGTCATTGAGTCAACTGGTGGGGTTTCAATTCCCCGGTTGTACGTGGGTAGAGTCACCCGTCCAACTTCGTAGGTTTTCTCCGGGTCCTCCGGTTTCCTCCCACTGCTAAAGACCCCTACGCGCATGCGAATTATTGAAATCAAATTGAACCATGTGTTAGTCCCGAAATGACCTAGTTTTTTTTGTGTCGAGTGGACGTTAAACCCCGTTTCTCTCTCTCTCTTTCGAAATTACGTAGTTGACGTTGAGCAGACATTAAGCTCCGATCGCACTCCACGTGCTACACTGTCGTTCTTGAGGCATTTACGTATATCAGTAAGTCGGATTATGTGGACCACCCTCATTAGCCCAGATGGAGCACAACAGTGGGACAATAAACCCGATTTTATTTCATTTTGGATAATGTGGCAATATTTTTTTTACAGATTATTATGCTAGGTCCCCACTGTTACGATGGGATTTTCCCTATTGAGTCTAGTACGTGCAGATACGTTCGGATACGTTTCGATACGATCAACACGATTGCTACGAATGACCACAATATATGATAAGACTTGATATGATACCCACGATTACTCCAAGATTAAAACCACGATTTCAATCGTAGCACGAATCGTGACAGTGGGGACATGGCATTACCCAATCTGTTTCACAGAGGATTACGAAAGTCTTCTAATATCTCTGAAAAAGATGACTGCCTTCAACACGTGACGTCACATCATGCGACGTCAATCATTGGCTCAATGGCGCGTGTATTGTTTACATAAGACGTTACTGAATCGGACAGAATGCTGCCTTTTACTCATTTTAATACCCATTTACACTAAATAGGAAATAATTTTTACCTACAAATACTTCAAACGACTTTATTTATTTTTCTAATACATAAAAAAAATGTTTTAGAATTTAATTTGCCGGAGGAAAAAAAGTTAATATTTGGGGCTCATTGAGTCGCATCGATGTCATCCTTATCAGTGATTGTAGCGGCCTAACGAATATCCACTGCTGATTAGTGTGGGCATTACCTTTTTCGCTTCGTCTTGTTCTATGAAGAATACTTTTATCATGAGTGGAACAAAGTCATTGACGAGACCAATAACAACATCTACCTTTAATGCTTCCAGGTTTCCTTTACCATAGAAACCTGTATATAAACAATATAAATATATTACCATAGAAACCTGTATATAAACAATATAAAGAAGGTGAAGATTCCTGAGAACAGGGGAAGCAACTACTAGACTTAGTCCAGCAATCACCATATTGAATTAAATCATTTGTTTTTAATTCATCGACATCGGAATTCTTGTCCCAGCCGTGAGAATAAACACCAGTGTCTTAGTATTTGAATGAGTCGTGCCAAGTATATAATGATATACGTACCCAGTTCTCTATTCAGTGTTTAGTATTTGAATGAGTCGTGTCACGTTTTGTTTTATAAAGATATACGAAACGTACCCAGGGCCCTTATTCACGAAAACTTAAACTAAGATACAATCGAAATTTTAAGAAATACTGCAATTCGATTGGCTGACCAGTAAAATCAATTTGCATATATCCAATGAAGTTGCAGTATTTCTTAAAATTTCGGTTGTAACTTAGTTTAAGTTTTCGTGAATAAGGGCCCTGTTCTCTAGCCAGTGTTTACTATTTGAATGAGTCGTGTCACGTATTGTTTTATATAAATATACGTACCCAGTTCTTTAGCTAGGTAATTAAAGATGGCGCCAGATTGACCGTACAGTTTACCATCTACTTCTAATACAGGTAACTGACCGAATGGCGTTTCTGAAAAAAAAATAAACAATAGAATTTACTCAGTCTAGCGACAACACAGCGCACTTCACCAAGTTCTGGGCACTAACGGTTGAGGTATAGTACGTGAAAGCAGAATGAATGGCCCATTTCGATCGTTTGGGGGCTCATGGGGCCGAAATGACATAAAATTGGGTTTAACGTCCTACTGTTCTGCACCAATTGGGCTAATGAAGACGGGCTCACGTGCATGCACCATACGGTGTGCTATGAGGGCAACTGTGCCCTGACAGCGGCGAAACGCCAGTGTGCAACGGGTTTTTGTCCCATCCGAACACCTAGATACTGAAAGTGCAACGCCAAAACGAAATAAAGATGTAATCTTTGATTATTTTAGCACTTTTTCTCATATATATTTTAATTAACTTATTATTACTTTAACATTTATTTTTTTCTTTCGGTTTTTAAAGAATGGGTCCTAATAGGCCTAATCTGTAGAATGGGCAACAGAGTGTAAACTTTCCCGTTCATTTAACTGTCAGCTTAGTTATATCTGTTTTAACGTTCGATATCATTGCCGTCCCCTAATCAATATTTCAGTATGCGTGTTTTTGTTATCTAATTAACTATCTCACATTTCCATAGAAACAATGCTATTCGGTATCTTGGAAACACAGCCAAGAGAAGACAACCCTGACAGAAAATCTGACGTCACGGAAAGATTAGTTATCTTAGGTTTGTAATATCAATTAAATATTGACTGTACGTGATTTGTATTTCCCGGAAATATCAAATTTCCCACGGATTTATCCAAGCATATATTTACTTAAATTGATTATTTAACATTTAATCAAACATACATTATGCAAGAGCTAAAACTGCAGGTCTTTCTTTGGGCCTGAATTGTTATCTAATTTTTTTTAATTAGACATTAATTAATGTATCCAGACCATAATCAAAATGGATAATCGAGACTTTGTTTTTTACCCAATCTGATTAAAATACAGATCTGTATTTCGTTTCGTTTTTTTATACTTTCGATGGCCTACTACAATCTGTTTCACAGAGAATTACGAGTCTCGTATAATATCTCTGTCATAGATGACTGCCTTAACACGTGCTGTCACAGCACGCGGTGTGAATCATTGGCTGAATGGCGCGTGCATTGTTTACATAAGACATAACTGCTTCGGAGAGAATGCTGCATTTTAGTCATTTTAATACCCATTTACACTAAATCGGAAATAATTTTTAACTACAAATACGTCAAACGCCTTTATTTATTTTGCCAATATATACAAAAAATGTTTTAGAATTTAATTTGTCGCAGGAAAAAAGTTAATATTTCTAGCTCATTAAGCCGCATCAATGTCATCCTTATCAGTGATTGTCGCGGCCAAGCAAATATTCACTGCGGATCAGTGTGGGCCTACTAGTGTAGTAAAGACAAGTAAAACGAAATTTTGAACTATAAAAACGAAACGAAATAGGATCTGTGTTTTAATCCGATTGTAACTTTTACAATATTGTAGATTGTACGGAATTCGTGTATCTTTCAAATCACGCTCGGCGACTTTAATTTATATTCATGGAAAAAGTTTAAAAATGAAATGGTCATGGGCATGCGGCGTACAGTGTGTATTCGAGGGTGGGGGGGGGGGGGGGGTCCCGGACAGCGTCGCCACGTTCTATTCTTATTTTGAATTCCAATTGTCAAGGGTTCTTCTACGTGCACGCCAAATCTGAACACGGGACCTCGGTTTTTCGTCTCGTTCCATTCGGCACATAACATTGAAACTAGGCTACACAGTACACAATGTAGTGCCTACACACTAAGTGTGTTTGTTCGAACTTTATTCAAATAAACTGATATCAACATTTTAGGGACTGTTATTGACTATTCAAATAACGAACGCGAGCATTCAATGTCAAGGTTTTCACATTACTACGGAAGCGTGTTCGGTCCAACAAAACAAAAAAAAAAAATTAAAAATTTTCAATAATATGTCCTGGGGCCTGTTTCAAGAAATTTTAAATTTTAACTAAGATAAAATCTAAATTTTTGTAATTTGATTGGATAATATTAGATTGATTTTAGTGCTTAGCTAATCAAAATTGAAGTATCTACTAAAATGTGGATTGTATCTTTGGTTAAGATTTCGAGAAACAGGGCCCTGATTATTAGGAAATACTCCGTTTTAATTAGGAGGTAGTATTCCCCCAAGCTCCGCTCTAGAACAGACTCTAGGCTAGTTGGCCGACATTTAAGTCCTCAATCGACAATTTTTGTCGAAAACACTAAGTCTTTATTCTGCTACAGTTTAATAAAATTGAAAAAGTTTATTTTGTCGAAAACACTAAGTAAACGTCGATACCTTTTTTTAAGTATTTGTTCTGCTTCAATTTAATAAAATTGAAAAAGTTTATTTAGTCTTCGTGTGGGGGTCTTTCCATATCGCCGACTCACCGAGATTTGGAAAGTCGACCGTGGCACCCTTTGATTGGATTAAAACGAATTAAAAGCGTTAATGATTTTTCCCCTAAAATTCGGTGAGTCGGCGATATGGGGATGAACCTTCGTGTGTCTGTCGACAGTCTATGTAAAGCGAAGTAGAACGTTAGTATCACTTGACCTTAATGTCCCTCTTTACAATAGGCCAACACTCGATATATACCTGAATGTGTATTCAACTACGCGTCCTATATTCTGCCCGAGCCACCTTCGGGCGCTTTCAAATTTTCTTCTGCGAGATGAGTAAGCTAAATAGTACTAGATATAACGATATTCCGATTGACCTATTTACTAGCCTTACCCCTGATAACGCACGTCAATAATGAATGGGCGTGGTCCGGGGGTTGTATTGATAATCAGCAAAATATTATGTCAATATTTTGTATCGAATGATAATTTTAAACAAGATTACACAAGCTGCAATAAAGTATACCCATTATTAACCTTTTATCAGCCTTGACCGAATTAAGATTTTATACTGGACCCTTGCATTACAGTGTATTGTGAGGTACATTTTGCCCGGGCAGCGGCGCTACGGCCTCTCTTATATCGAATTACACATTATAGTACAGTATACACATTAACCATTTTATCAGCATTGTCCGATTTAAGATGTTACTGGCCCCTTGCATCAACATTCTGCATTGTCCGTCACAGTGTGTTGTGAGGTACATTTTGTCTGGACAGCGGCGCTACCTAATATCGAATCCTAACTTTCATTAGTTCTTTTACGTACATGCTAATCGGTACAAGATAGCTCGATTTTTCGTCCCATCCGCACGACTTTACGTTTTCCCCTGCCTGCCTGCCAGACCCTCTCTCTGTCCTGCACCACTGTCAAGACGTATTCACGATGAAGTATCTCGGTTAACACTGGGATCGAACACGCGGGACCTCCCGATTAGCGAGCGAACATCTTACGCACCGCTCCAAATCCCTTGGTATTTACGTACTAGTATATAAAGGCGTATACTTACTGGGTTTAAATGCTGGCCAGGTCTCTTTCGTGTATCGGACATCATCAAATTTCTGGCCTGCGGCGTTAAACATAAGCCGGGCAACTTCTCCTCGGCCTCGGACATCAAAGTAGTGCAGACGATAAGCGGGCATGTTGACGTGTGTTTTGTTCTTGGCTCTACACAGTGATAATGCTAAAAAAAAATCAGCCTTGCTTTATATGTGTACGGTTAATCAGGCAGTATTGCTGAATCATTGTAGCTTCAAGTCACGTGATCGTTCGTCGTCATTGGCTATATAGATCTGCTTTGATAAATCACACAAGTGAGGATACTGAATACCTATAGTAGGCGTGCAGGTGAAAGAAACGCTGACGCGGTTGTTATTTAATGAAGAGTTGACAAGTCGCTGCTTGGGCCAAAATTGCCCTGTTATAGCACAATGTCCGTGTTTATTGGCCCGGTTGAAGCAGAAAAACCGAGGTCCCGTGTACACATCGACGTGCACGTAAAAGATCCCTTGACAGTTGGAATTCGATATATGAGTAGGCCGTAGCGCCGCTGCCCGGGCAAAATTTCCCTCATAGCACACTGTATGGCGTATGCCCGTCTTCATTAGCCCAGTTTAGGAGCAGAACAGTAGGACGTTAAACCCCATTTCATTTCATTTCATTCCCATTTTGCAATATCATTTAATCCCTCGCGTTCCGCGTCACTAAATTTCCAGAATATTCGGAATATCTGATGAAATCGTAATCAAGAACGAGAAACATTTTAGATGACACGGAGATTTTCCGAACGTTATGCATCAGATTTTTTCTAGAATATTCGGAAAATCTGGTGAAATCGTCGTCAAAGGACTAGATCTAATTGATCACACCTATATTGTTTCTTTTAACAATGGCCCAGCTGCTGGCATAAATATAATGGTCAAGTTAGATAGTCGACTGATCGCTAATTACTAGTAAGTGTTCATTTGTTACACATTAATTGTTATGTAGTCTGCCATATGACGCTGATTGTATCCCCCCCCCCTCTCCCCCAACCATGACTCGAGTATAAGAAATGAAATGAAATGAAATGAAATGGGATTTAACGTCCTACTATTCTGCTCCGAACTGGGCTAATGAAGACGGGCATACGTCATACAGTGTGCTATGACTGAAATTTTGCCCGGACAGCGGCACTACGGCCTACTCTTATATCGAATTCCAACTGTCAAGGGATCTTTTACGTGCACGTCGATGTGTACACGGGACCTCGGTTTTTCGCCCCATCCGAACGACTAGACAGTTGTCCTTGCCAGGCCCTCCGTCCTGCATCACTGACAAGGGGGAACCACGCCGGAAAATCTGGATGAACTTTCTCGGCGAATGCAGGGATCGAACACCGGACCTCCAGGCTAGCGAGCCAGCGTCTTACCCACTTAGCCACCTCAAGTATAGGACCCAGTACTCATCAGTAATGTAAACATAAATGAAATAATCGTTTTATTTAAATAAAATTGGGCGGCTTTAACTACGCAGTTAATAGCGATGATTTCAAATTTCAAAGCGGGTTGGATGGCCCAATGGTTAGCGTGTGTGCGCTGTTTCATAAGGTCTTTCATTGAGTCAACTGGTGTGGTTTCGATTCCCCGGTTGTACGTGACAAGGAGTTGGGTCTCCTGTCCAGCTTTGAGGGTTTTCTCCGGTTTCCCCCCACTGCTAAACCCCCTACGCGCAAGCGAATTATTGAAATAAGACTGAACCGTATGTTAGTTCCGAAATGACCTAGTTTGTGTCGAGTGGACGTTAATCCCCATTTCTCTCTCTCTCTCTCTCTCACTCTCTCTCTCTCTCTCTCTCTTTCAAATTGAAAAAAACAACTGAATTTTAGTTTCAATCTTTGATTGTATGTCTCACACTGTATGACTTACGCCCGTCTTCATTAGACCAGTCGGGGATCACGTAGCTAAGTGGGTAAGACGCTGGCTCGCTAGCCTGGAAGTGGGGGTGTTCGATCCCTGCATTGGTCGAGAAAGTTCGTCCAGATTTTCCGGCGTGGTTCTCCCTTGTCAATGATGCAGGACGGAGGGCCTGACAAGGACAGCTGTCTGGTCGTTCGGATGGTACGAAAGACCGAGGTCCCGTATACACATTGACGTGCACGTAAAAGATCCCTTGACAGCTGGAATTCGATATAAGAGTAGGCCGTAGTGCCACTGTCCGGGCAAAATTTCCCTCATAGCACACTGTATGGCGTATGCCCGTCTTCATTGGCCCAGTTCGGAGCAAAACAGTAGGACGTTAAAGGGGCTATATCTCTATTCACTATATCTCTATTCACTATATCTCTATTCACTATATCTCTATTCACTATATCTCTATTCACTATAAATAGATACAAATGAGTCGCAATGTATGTAATAATATAATAATGTAATATGACTGTATATAAACTGATTTACATTCTATCGTTTCTCTTTTTACTGTAATTTCTAATGGCAGTCGTTGGCGTCTGGATATTCCAGTCTACACTGGTAGTATTCTTCTCCGTGGTCTATGTGTAACCTCGTTCAATGGCGCTCAAAAGTATTCTTACACGAGATTCGTGTGTCAATTTTAAACTGAGGTGATTTGAACTTTGTTGTGTACTCAGATTTCTCGGTGGTGGGATAGCTTCAGTAAATGTGACTAGCTTGAGGGATAAACAAATAAAGGGTTACTAAATATATACTATTCAAAAAAAGTAGGGGATATTTGAATAGTATATAATAATGTTTAACTAAACACGCGCTCAACCAGAGAAAAGTGGAATGTATGGAGGACCGTGTGTGACATAGAAGGGTGTGCCTTATAGATAAAGCGCGTGCGTTGTATTACAATGTCTGTCATTGAGTCAAATGGCGTGGTTTCGATTCCCCGGTTAAACGTGACAAGGAGTAGGGTTGCCTATTCAACCTCGTGGCTTTTCTCTGGGTCCTCCGGTTTTCTCCCACTGCTAAAGACCCCTACACGCAAGCGAATTATTGAAATAAAATTGAACCATGTGTCTGTCTCGAAATGACCTAATTAAGTTATTCAAACTATGTTAAGACTTAAACACGCAATCCGCAAAAGCTAGTTCTGCCTATTGCAAGTCTTTCTTTATGCCCTCAGTGTTACTCTCATGTGATCGAATGTCTCCGATATTAAGTAGATAAGAACGGTTTAATTTAATGATTTAATTTAAAAATGTAGAAGCGAGACTAAGCTTCGAACAGTCAGTACGGTGGTTACAACCAATGCACACATCTTGTCAAACCTTCAAAGGCTAATATCTTCGCTCAGAAAAAAGTAATTTGAATGAAATTTTCAATATATTCGTTTTGCATTATCTATTTTTTTATCCATTATGGCAAGAATGGCTAGCTCTTTATCTAAATCTTACATATAATGCTTCTTTAATATAAGCCTCGCTTTCGCCAACGAATAAAAAATGGGGCCGTATCCATTTTTTGAAATAACAATAACACACTACTCTACGATAGTGGTATTCTGGTGGTATTGGGTAGTATTGGGTAAATCGTCCCGCCGTTAACACATATTGGTACTACTCTACCATATTTGTTCTTAACCTTGGTTACGTGTACCCCCTGGATACGAAGCATCAAAGCAGGGGATACCAGGTATGGTGTCAAATTCAGTACTGTACTTAAAGATACATTATGGGAGATTCGATAACGATTTGGCAGTTCTCACTATAATAATTAAAAACTAGATAACGTAAAGGCAATTTGCTGAAAATTTCATTCAAATTTGGTCCACTATGAACCGAGAACTAAGCGAATAAAATTTCTGCCTAGCCTCGGTCATCATTACTAAAGTCAGTACGTTAAACAGCATAGTCTCGGTTATCCATTTAATCGTTTAATCGAGAAGGAAAGTTATGCAGTAAATCCGATCACAATCCACTTAAGATCGTAGGCTAGCGATGCCATCTGGAGTTGATTATGGCCTGGATAAGTTAATTAATGTCTAATTAATAATTTAGATATCATTTCAGGCCTAAAGAAAGACTTGCAATAGACAGATTTAGCTCTTGCATAATGTATGTTTAAATTGTAATACTACTACTACTAATAATAAGAACTGTTTCAATTCATGAATAATTTTAACATATTATAATCAAATATTTTATATTTTACAGGTAGCATTTAATGTAATTATATTTGTATAAGGCGTGTTATTTGGTTGCGGGGGCACGGGGGAATATTATGAAAGCTCAAGGGTTGCGAGCACATAAAGAGGTTAGAACCACGGCTCAACGACTTGACGCTTTAATACTTCTTGCAGCATGTCATTCAAGGGAGATAACTACAATAAAACATGATTATAAAAGGATACAGACCACCATTAAATTTAACCATCTCGGTACCTGTAGTTCGTCTATTTATAGCAATTCTCTCTGTCTCCTTTCTCCCCTTTTGCATGCCCATTTTTGTTGATTTATTGGTCTAGAATGGACGAAGAGGGTTCGAATTAACATTTCCTGTTAGGTTTTGGTAAATATTCGAAAGTCATTACAATGCGGTCGGCGGTAAAAAGTATTTGGTCGGCGGTAATTTCACGACGGTCGGCGGTAAAAGTATTGGTCGGCGGTAAAAAGTACCACCCGGTGCACACTGGTGATTCACTTTCGACCAACCATTATGGTGGAATGCCGAAACAATTATTAAAAATGAGTCACCCGACAGTAAGGTACAGGTTCAATTGGTCACCTTATGGACAAATTTTGGAGACAATCTATGGAAAAACACAATTGGACACATATTGAATGGGATGGCGTATGGACATTTCCCCATGGACTCATGGTACTCAGTAAAGTAAACAATTTACCATTATCGCCAACAATTGATAGAGTATTTGAAAGATTTTCGAATGAAAAAGCAAACTTGAATCATCCCACTCAAAGACAGCTTTGGCTTCAATATATTATATGAATATGGTAAATTTATTCAGAAATTTGAGAAGATCTGAACGGATTGGTCTCTTCATGTGTTATTTTTAGCGAAGATAATATCGTACTTTGCCGCACGTTTTACCGCAATTGTTTCGAGTCGGTAGAGATAATCCCACAAGATATGGCTGAACTGCAAGTGAAGGATCCTCTAATTTGTTCGTTGTTCGAGAAAGGTTTGGTTATTGTTAGACGCTCCGACGGGTTCTGGACAGGACTACCGAATGATTTGGTTCGAGTCCAATTAAATGAAATGAAAATGCGATTTAAAGTCCTACAGTCAAGATG